CTCGCTAAAATCGCTTCAGCGCTTACCAGGCATCAATTCAAGGGAGATTTTTTAAGAGCTATAGGAAAGTTTTTCAAAAAAGAACACATAAAAAACCGAAAAATGCATGAAATCTTTATTTGAATCGATATTACGATCGATATTATTTGAATTGATATTTGAAGATTATTTCATGCAAATGTTGATCGTGACTGGGCCTCCGCTTAGTCCAATTTTGGTATACTCTTTCCAACATTTCGGCCGGTATCTCACGAACAAATGCTTCAATATTGCTCTCCCATACGTCAATGAAAGCGGGCTTGTCTGTATAGACATGAGATTTAACAAAGACCAATAAAAAAAAATAGTCTAAAGGCGTTAAATCGCACGATTTAGGTGGTCAATTGACCGATCTCGAGCGTGAAATAAAATTATCCCCGAACTCGCCTTCCAATAAGTCCATTATTACGCGCGCTATGTGGCATGTGACCCCGTCTTGTTGAAACCACATGCCATGCAAGTCAAGCTCTTACATTTTGGGCAAAAAAAAAATTGATATCAACTCACGGTAGCGCTCACCATTAACAGTTACGGTCCAATGATGCCACCAGCCCATAAGCCGCACCAAACTTTGACTTTTTCTGGATGCATTGGAAGCTCTTGAAATGCTTCTGGCTGATCTTTACACCAAAATCGCACCCATTAGGCCAAAAATGAGCTTCGTCACTGAAAACAATTTTTCGATAAAAAATCGCGCGATGAATTGATAGTTAAATTTAATAATTTACAAGCGTTGGTCGTTTGTAAGACTGAAGATTTTTGACAGTGCTACAAAGCACGAAACGTGCGTCAGCTGTTTAGTGTTGCCAATAAGATACTAGCTAAAAAAAAATCACTCTTTAATTTAGACCTTTACGGCTGCTTGGCTATCTACATAAATGTATATTCTTTTCCTTTGAATAAAATTATTATTTTTTTTTTTTTGGAGAGGAAAAGCTTTTCCAAGATTGATAAACTTTGCATATCTACCTGCGTTGTGTTTAGGTTTTAGAATATTTAACGTACAGACATACATATGTATCATTATCAGCACTCCGTAAGCATTTCCATATTGCTCTGTTTATGCTCAAACCTCAAGCATATCATTCTCTCATACAACAACTTACAACTTATTTCTCTCACGCTCTCCCTGCCTAATAATATTACATTAGACATACTTACATATCGCCACGATCAACGCGACCATTTCACCTGGCTTTCGAACGTATGCATGTGCATATGTACACCTGACACCGTAAAATTGAAATAATATAATAAATAAAAAATTTTAAAATATTTTGCGCCCCTATAAAGTTTTATTTATACATACATACACATATATATTAACATTTGTGTATAGTCTGCGTAAGCGTCGCAGCTGATGACGGCAATATCAACCAACCGTTCCACCGTCAACAACCACCAACTTCCTTCAGTTAGTGTTAATATAATTGCCCTTTGGTAGCACTATAAATGCCCACCACCGCCAGCACCAGCAGCAGTAAACGACGCAGCGGCCAGCTATTATCATCATCATCATCAGCATTAAGCAGCAGGCGTATGTATGGCGCTATTGCATGTTGTCACTCACTCATGCCACATGTCATGTTGCCACATTGCCGCATATTTTCTTAAGCAATATTTGTACGATTGTGAACGCAACATTTTGATAAAATAAATGGTTAAATACTAGTGATTGTTTGTTGGTATGCACATATGTACGTGTATGTATGTGTGTGTGTGGTGCGTAATTTGTATACCTGTGCGTTCAACGCCCGCGTTTTTTGAACAATTTTCCCTCGCACTTACCGGCTGACTACCAAAGCCACTACTGCCCCCCTCATGGTTGCTACCAATAATACGTAACATTGTCTTCCACTTCCATTTCCTCTTCTTCTTCCTATTACTCCTTGACTTAATTTTAGTCAACACAACAAAGCAAACCCAACAAACATTGTGAGAGCGTTTCTTCGAATTCATTTAGACTTGTTGGGAAGGTTTCAAGGCCTGAGTAGTTCTTCTGGTTATGCAGTTACAATTGTACCGCTCGGGTCATGGTCAGAATAGAAGAGGCTGACATATTCGGTTTAAGGGTTTACTGCGTCTTATTGCAATATCTGTGAGGTACGACGGAGGGCGCCGATCCCAAAGCAAGCGGCTTACAATATACATATATAAATGAGTTTCATTAGAGCTACTTTTATGGCTAGACCTGAGATCTGCCACGTAAAAACTTGCTTCATTATTAATAACGACCACAACAAGCGTACAGAGGAGAAGAATATATTCTCTCGAGAAAGAGAGAAGTCCTAAGGCTGTAGTAATCTTGGCAGACCACTACAACAACTACGACAAGCGGAATGACTGGAACCACTTTCCTATTGAGCAGGCTGCAAGAATATTGCATTTGTAGAAACCGTAACTCATCTCACATGCAACTGCTCAGCCTTGTATAGAGCTACACTTCGTTATTTGGAAGCCGCTTTTCTTTTTATGATCTGTCTGAGATAGCACACCGCAAGTCGGCGATGAGCCAACATCAATAGCTACACCTATCTACTTATTGGCACTATTATAAACTGGACACCATAGCAGATGCAGCTCCTACTTAAACAAATTCGAAACCGACGTACTAAACGTAGTGAATATCCTGCTTGCTCTGAGTGCCCGCGTGAAAGTAAATACCTTTATTGAATGCCCACTGAAACCCACATATATATGTAGCGCGGCTATACCAATTACTCCAACCTATTCGGAAATGCGGAATGAAACTAGACCTCGCGTTAGATAACAAAGACGAACTTTACCTGCTTCTAAGCGGAGTTGGGCTACAACAACAAGAACGTACTTTAGTTAAACTTAGTGTTGAGCAGATACTTTAAGATTTTAGAAATATCTCACCTCTCAAATGAAACTCAAATCGGACGCCAACCGTAGTGCTTACGGGATGGCGAAAACTTTAATTTCCATACTTATTTTCATATGAGAGCACGCATGTGTATATGTGTGTGCGTGTGTGTGTGTGTATGTACGAATGCAAAGTGTTGGTTCGCTGACAATAGTTCGAGTCCTGTCCAATTTTTTTTTTATTTTTTTTTTTTTTGCCTTCAATTTTTTTATTTTTATTTTGTTTTTGCACTCATTTTGTGTCGGTTTTTTTACTTTGTTTCCTTGTAATTTTGCGCTTTTTATTCAAGTATTTTTGTGGTAGCAAATAAAAACTCAGTTAGTCACTCGTCGTCAAGGATACGGTGCGTTTCGTTTCATAGTCGCTGTCGTCGTTTGCAGGTATATGCCGTTAGTTAGATTCGTAGTTTGCTTGTATTATTTATTTTTTTATTTTAATTTTTTTTTGTTTTTTTTTTTTGTATTTTCTTTCATTTTTCGTTTTTGTTTTTGTATGTGAAATATTCGATTTTTCGTTAGCAAGTTGGTAAATTAACTTAGGCGCCACCAATCCGGCACGCAGTCGTATCATTAGTTTCGCGTAGTCTTAGTTACCGAAAAACCAAATCAAAAATTGTGCTACACAAAGTGTGTATGCATGTACATACATACATCTAAGGGACACATTTATATATACCGAAACAGCAAAAATTAAAAGGAATAAAAAAATAGTATATTTATAAATATATATATATATATATGTAAATAAAAATAAAAAAAAAATGAATTTCTGTTATATGCTGCAAAAATTAGGAATTTCTATAGGTGTACATATATATATATATATGTATATGTACATACATGCTACCCTAGTAACGGAAGTAATAGTAGCCGCACAGAAAGCGAGCAAAAAGAAAAGACATCCGCGATAACCCAACGCCACACCCACTCATACGTCATTGCAGCCGGCATTTAGTAGCGTTCTAAGCGTTTGCTTCAAGATTTCCACCAAAGCAGGGAGAGAGAGAGAAGGTGGTAGAAATTTAACATTTCACCGATCCTGTCAAGTGCGCTGCACTTTGCTGACCGAAAAGTAAGTCAAAAGCCAATAGTAGTAAATTTATAACCAACACAGAGGCATGTACACACATACATGCGCAGCTTAGCGTACATATATTTGTAGATATGTATATACATATATACATACATAGAAAATAAAAGCAAACGTTAGAAATTCCATTTGAATTCGACGTCAACGGAAATTCCCCACACACACATACACACACACACACACACACACACACACACACAGAGACACACACACTTATACACAACTGACCAACTGCGGACAAAGCGGCCAACAACTACAATTATAGCAACGAATTTTTCTATTTTGAACGTTTTTTTTTTTTTTACTTATCTTAGTTTTTTTTTTATTATTTTTTACCTTTTTTTTTGCCTTACCTATTCTGCTTAGTTGGTTGGCTGCCATTTAGCGCTAGCGTTTTCCGTTCGCTTCCGGTTAGTGCCGCTCAACTTCGGTTTCAATTCCTTTAACAAATACATGCAAAACTTACTGTTTCATTTTCTTTACGTTCCGCACCTATCCAATTGGCTTACAGTGCCTTTGCACTTACATACTTATTTGTATGTATCTACGTGTAGACCAACAACAATGGGCTGCTCATAAACGGTAGTAGTAATAATGATTGTTGTTGTCATATGAAATCCTCCCTCCTTCGCGTCGAGCACATCATACGAGTAGTTCTTTCAGTTAGCCAATCTTTCAGCCAGCGAGCCCTGCTAACCTAGCCTAGCTAGCACAGTCATGCAATTCGAATTCAGTTAGTCAGTTAAACATTTACACTCGCAGGGATAACATGTAGTCCTGCGACAATAACGCAGCAAACAGGATCAACAGTTTCGTTTTATTTATTTTTTATTATTTTTGTACTGCAAAGCAAGTGAATATTTTTGTGTGGCAAGTGCTTGGCGATGAACTGAAAAGAAATACATTTATTGCAACAAAAAAGCAGTATTTGAATGCCGAGAAAAATTTATAAATTTTATATTTGTTTATTTAAAACGCTGTCAAATTTTTGTGTTAAAATAATCTTTTGGGTAAGTTGAAGATATAAATATTGATTTCATAATAAGCACATACTTTGTTATTTTTTTCATTAAATTCATCCTGATTTTTCTTAGCCTAACTTGTTATCAATTTAATTATTTATTTTTATTTAATTAATTTTTATTTTATTTTTTTGCTTTCATGTTATTTTATTTTATTTTATTTTATTTTATTTTATTTTATTTTATTTTATTTTATTTTATTTTATTTTATTTTATTTTATTTTATTTTATTTTATTTTATTTTATTTTATTTAAGTTAATTTTACTTAGTTTAAATTATTTAATAACTTTAGTTTCTTTTATATTATTTTATATAATGAAATAAAAAATTTTTATTATATTTTTTTTTTACTTATTTAATTTATTTTATTTTTTATGTTATTTCTTTATTGTATTTTATTTTATTTAATTCAATTTTATTTTAATTTATTTTACTTTAATTTAATTTTTTATTTAATGTTGCTTTATTTTATTTAATTTATTTTATCGTATTTCATTTAATTCAATTAATATTTTTTTTCCATTAATGTTGCCCTATTTTATTTCATTTAATTTTATTTATTTGTTTTTTTTTTTTTGATTTTATATCATTTAATTTAATTTTTTATTTCTTACTATTTTATTTTATTTTATTTCACTTTATTTTAATTTATTTTATTTTACTTTTCTTTATTTTGTTTTTTTTTTTTTTAATTTGTTTCTATTATTTTTTATTTTAATTACAAATAGCCAATAAATCATAAATAAAATATAAATTTTGTTTTATACAAATAATATAAATTATTGTGAATTATTTTCTATTTAATAAATATTTACAGATGTGTTTAATTTTTTTACGAAAAAATCGCATGCTAATTCTTGGCACTGGGAGAATTCACAGTTGATTTAAATGATACTCTGTGGTTCTTTGGGTGCCAAAGCTTAGTTTGATGATCCTGCTGCAAATTAATCATAAGATTTCTACTAACGTTTGAATGCGTATATCAGATACAATGTAAATCTGCTTTTCTGAAATACTTTTTTTTTATCAAATATACGCTTTGAGCTCAGGCCCGTGATATGTAGTTCTACCGATCCTCGATTTGATTCGAATAATTTTACGTCTTTTCAATTGATTATCATCTTGAAGTTATGCAATCAATCAAATCTTAAGCCAAACATTTTTAGAACATCTTTCGAAAATCCAACATCTCCCCTCAAGGATTAGAAAGTAAAGCGTTTAGAGAATTTTGTAGATCTTTTCTCTATTTGCGGAGTCTTATTAATATTTCTTGAAGAGGAAATGTGTTCCAAAACTATATTTAAGTTAATAGAACCGTGCTTATTGCACTATTCAGATTGGTTCTCTGTAGAATTTTTCGAGTTTTCTGCTTTTTTATCAAACTTCTGATGCCTCACTGTTTCACAAATTCTGCTTTCTAATTCATTTTAGAACAGTGGAGAAGGCATATGACATATTTAGACTAGTTCGGTGATATTTTCTGAAATTACATACTTAAAGGACGTTCAGCTTTTTCGGAGCACATTTTAATCGATTCACTTCAAAAGGAAGGTTCTACGGAGCTGCGGCTTGGTGACCATCTCACTTTTGACAGTAATAACATTGATGTCGTAGATAATTTAGGCTAACTAGGAGCCAGAGGTATCACCAATGTTAATGTCAGCCCTGAGTCAGAATCACTCTTACCAAGAGTATATATATACTTTGGACTGAGTAGGCAATTGAAAAGTAAAATTATCTCCCGACGAACAAAAACCAAAATCTACAAGTCACTCATCATTCCCGTTCTACTATATGGTAGAGAAGCCTGGACGATGTCGACATCCCATAATCGTCGAGAGAAAAGCTTTGCCAAGGATTTGTGGTCCTTTGCGCATTAGCTCAACTCAAGTCGTACGAATAAAAGAAAGCGGTCCAGCTTTGAGAGTATTCGATGTAGTACCCGCCGGTGGAAGCAAAGGAAGAGGAAGGCAACCAATCCTTTGGAAGGATGTGATGAAGAACGAGCTGACTTCTTTTATTATTTCCAACTGGCGAAAAACAGCAAAAATATGGCGCGATTAGCGCGCTATTGTTGATTCAGATGAAAAAGAAAAGAAAAACGGTTCGTTCTCACTCTTATTTTTAAAATTTGTGCCGAAAAAAAAGCTCGGAAGACCTTTACGCGTTAAGAGGTTCTAGAAAGTTATTCTTCGTTCATTCTACGTAGGCTATTCCGAGACCAAATCTGTGTGTGAATAACTTCAAAATCCCTAGCGAAATAGAAACACTATTTCCTTCTAGAAATATGCAACAGAAAATACTCAGAAGAACTATACCGAAATGTATTTTTCATTCTGCATTTATGTACGAGTATGTATGTATTTTTGTATCAATTTTTGCGCTATGATTCAGTCGGAGGCAATTTTTATTACTATTTAGCACGCAATAATTGGGCTCTGTTGTGTATGACGCGAATGGCAAGGGGGATTTCTGAGAATTTAGGTGGCTGCAAATGTGCAAGTTTATATATACATATATAATTTTCAATAATACACTTTAAAAACATTAAAAAAAAATCTCAGTAAAGATGTGTGAATCATTTAAGTTTTTTTTTTAATTTTTTAGGCATTTTAAATTGAAGCGAAATGTAAATTTTCATTTCATACATCTTTAATATTGTACATATATATATATATTGTATTGCACTTACTCATGCCTCAACACGATTAGCCTACAATTATTGCTACCAATTACTTAATCCTAATGGTCGCTTGCATACGAGTACATAGAAAATGCGCCCACAATCATTCAACAATGCATATAACCATACATATAAACATTTACAATCCCATATAAAATATTGGCTAGGACATTGACGCTTGCACAAGTGCCTTTGGCCATTCTTCAGCCACTGGCACACTCAACAGATTTGCATATTAAATCAGCTGAAATGTAATTACATGGCCATAATTCATGCGAATGAATGTCAAATGAACAGTATGTATGTACATAATATGTGTGTGTGTGAAGACGCCAATAAATCGCATGACATTTAATAAATTTTTGTATTTATTTCTTTGAGAAATTATCACCCACTACGAGTAAATTATATATATATATATATATAATATATTATACATATGTATAATTAAAATAATAATGATTTTTTTGTAATTAAATGTTTCAGTCAAATCAACTAAAAAATTAATAGAAAAACTTTAAACACTTTCATCTGAGAAATTTATTATTTAAAATATGAAAAATTTCTCTAACCACATCATACGTGGTATGTGCCCGAGGTAATAAAAAAAAGTAGCCGCAAGCCCCTGATATGTACAAATAAAATGTGATGTGTGATTTCTAAAGACTAAAAGGCTTGTTTAAAAAGATCATAGAAGGATAAGTATGTATAAAGAATTACAACCAATGGCGGTATTCTCTCACTTTCGCTATTCGCTACTCATTTTTTTAACGATTATCGGTTCGATATTAATATTCGCTGTATTTGTTTTGACGATATTCTCAATCGTTTGATCATCTATTGTCGTAAACTACTCGACAAATCGCTATTAGCGACGAATATTTTTTGAAGTTGGGTGCATTCAGCGAACTGAGCGCTCGGTAAATATGTTCAGTGAGCGATTTTACTGAACGATTAATTGTCATGAACGCAATGCTACTTCAACTGCCGAAATGATCACATTAACCGCTACTTCAACTGCAGAACCTTTTTGTGAGGTGGCACAATTTCTTCATAAAAATGTTTGGTCTTTTCTTTGAATTTCTTTTTTTTTTTGAAAAACTGTTTGTCTAGTGCAGATGACGCTCCTAAAACTATTTGACAACCCAAAAAATCTAGTAAATTCTCGTCACAAGCACTTTCAAGTAAAAAAAACTTTTAAATTTACGCGATACATTTTTTCTGTATACAACAATTGACCGATCAGTAGCAAGTGGCCTAAAAAATTTAAGCTCACAAATATGATGGGCGCTCACTAAGCATGTTTACTGAGCGCTCAGTTCACTGAACGCACCCATAAATAAAAATTTTATTAAGGTTAAAGAGAAATAAAGTACAATAGATATTAAGCTATTTAAAAAGAAAAAAATAATAATAAAAAAAATAGATTTTAAATATTTGGCATATCTTTTATCCCAAGATGAGGATGTATCGTTCATCCCTTCGGCATTAGATGACGCTTACTACGTAAAATGAAAGATCTTTTCCACTTAAATGCAACTGATGTGTTTCGGAATCTTTGTATAAGCAAGAAATCGTTTCTTAACTTGATATCCAACCAAAAAAAAAAAGTTCTAACCCCTAGCGATTTCTCTCAACTGGATGCTATTCGCGTCCTGTTAAAGAGCAATAGTAAATATCTCTGATTCAGTCGCTCGTAAGCCTTTGTATCCATCACATAACTCTTTTACGAAGATTAGATTTCACATGCTCCATAATCGTCACCATTTATTGGAGGCACTCTTGGGTTTATCGACTATCAATGTGCACCAGAAATAATGAGAAACCTATGTAATCATAATCACTAATTATATTTTTTTTATTATTTTTTATTTTTTCAATTCACACTGTTGTATTTATGCATAGATATGTGAGGGATCCTTTTGTCGGAGAGCGTCATGGTTTTTTCGATTTCCTCTACAGTCATGCCTCGTAGTTTTGAAAGTGGAAACCATAACATGTTTTTGATTTGATAAACTTGTTGTAATCCATTGCAAATCATTTAATAAAAATAATTCCTTACGCGAATTTGTTTTGATTTTGTCATTCTTTTTTGGGTTTTTCGCATAATTTGGCACTTTATTAAGCTGTGGTGTCACCCTTATTCCATTTTAATAAAAAGAAAATATCCGTTGTCGTTTATCGTTCAAAATGAGTTGGCGAATAGCAACCTTAGTGCAGACGATAAATTCGCAAGTTTGGTAGTCGGCAAATCGTATCGATAAATGTTATTGAATTGCACTTTTAATATTAGATTATTCTATTCGCTGAATTTTAATTAATTTAGACTTAAAATTCCACAACGTGAAATGTTTTTATGGAAACCTACATAATTCTTTCTATATAAATATGTATGTAATATACATTTTTTACTTTGCATTGAATTTTCTGTAACAATTGGCATTTTATAACTGCTGAAGTGATTTTCGGCCCAACCCCTGCTCTAATTTGTAGTGTACAATCAATTTTATTCCAAAAAATGAAGGGATCTACGGTTTATACCTGAAAATTAAGTTTTCTGATAATAGCTTTGACATTTATGATTTTCGAAATTTTACAAAAAATCCGATAATTTTTGTTTTCATAATAACCACCAAACTCTACATGAAAAAAAAGTATTCTAATCCCTTAACACTCGATTAGTGTATATTTTAAAATGTCCACTCGTGAATTTCACAACGAAACCTACAATTACGTCACAATGCATGCATTAATATTGTAGGCAAGTTTTACTATTTTTTTCATATATATTTTTTTACACAAATTCAGCCGAATATTGTCGTAATAAACCACTTTGGCTACCGACAAAAACTTAAACAAACACACATACATACTTGTACAACTGCAACAGTGAGCAACGGTTTTGGTATTTGGTAAATGCAAAATAGGCACTAAACATACGACATCTACATATGTTAATATGTATGTTTGTAAATGGAAATATGTTTTACGGGCTCCGGTAGGTACAAGTCACGGAAATTCCGTGCAATGAATATTTGCACGTCAGCTTGCATGGCAGTGAGCTTAGGTTGAAATTGCTTTGAAACTACCAAATATCCACTACCAAATAACTAACCCTCATTGTAGCACACATACACACGCACACACACACTTTAGCACATGTTTGTCTCCTTCCCCTACAGCAAGCAATGAGCGCGATTTGCTTAAGGTATTCACCTGTACCTGTACCACTACACATAAATAATCGCATATATGAAGTTGTTAGTGTATATAAATACTTACATATGTACATATCTATATATGAATATAATTTTATTGTATGTAAATCGGTATGTAGAGGTGCCACCGCCAGTACGGCGCGGTTTTAATGTACAGGTATAATTTATTTTATCGGTAGCAACAAATCTAAATTGATCGTTAGACTAGCTAGTGTAAATATATATCTACAAGCATATGTACATAAGTATATGTACTTCCACAAACGTCAGCGCCTTCACACTACCAACTACATTTTCCTACATAATACGTATATAATATATATGTACATATGTATGTAAGCGTGTATGCTATTTGGCTAAATAACGGTATTTACTAACACTTGTAATGTTTTCAATACTTACTATACGCATATGTGAAAACAAATCAACCAATTTTTGCTTTGTATTACTTTGTTGTGGACTTTGATTGTGGAAACGAACTTATTTTCCAAGAAAAGCTTTCATCAATTCTATGACAAGCTTATTAAATCACATATACACATATTTACAAGCATATGTATGAATATGTAATGTGATTGAATGAAAATACGTTAAAAGAGTTTTTAAAGCTTGAAGGACATAAGTGCTATTATTTACAAATTCATAAAATATGTGTATCTGTTATACGTTTTTATGTTTTATAACTTGGTGAGGTTATAAAAACCATATATAATAAGTATTGTTTATTTAAAACTGATTTTCAAATATGTTTGTTATGATTTTCTTTGGATGAATTGTCAAAAGCACATGTTGTTTACTTTGATATATTTCCCGGAAGTGAGGCCATCATGCCCCCATCACAGTTGTATCTGTTATTTAACATATCGATACAACATTTTTATCGATAAAGCACTTAAGGCTAGTTTACTGTGCTGTACATTATAAGGCTATGCTTACGTATACGAGTTTTTCTACATACATATCTAATAGCACAGCGATGAGTTGAATTATTGAAAATTATGTAAGAGATTTATTATTAAGATACATACATATACATACGTGTATATATTTAATGTATGTTTATTTATTTTATATTTTAACATAACGAGAGTGTGTATTATAATAAAAATATTTTTTTCATTTCCTTTGCAGATCCTTCAAGCTCAAATAGACAACACACATTTTAGCTATACACAACGTTCACTCTTCCCTATGGCTGTTCAACAGAATTCAACTCTCATCTATGATAATTTAGATGATTGTCCGTCGTTGCTAAAAGAGACCGAAGAATTAAGTCGTTATAGCCCTATCTTGCCATTGAAACGTGAAAATAATATTATGAAATATCAAGAAAAACAACTTGACAACAACAATAATAATGACAATAAAAATTCTCGAATTAAAGATTTACAAAAATGTAGTAAATACGCCAAAAGTAGCCATAATAGAAACTATGCTGCAAGTAGCTGCAGCACCAAATCCGGTCGGAGTCGTACTATATCGTTAAGTGGCGTAAACAGTACAGAGGTGAGTTTCATAAGAAAATGAGTGCATTAAAAATATTAATTTATAATTATACAATATACAAACTCACCAAAAATTGTATGCTCTCACTTTCCTGCGCTTAAAACTATGCTTCTGACAATCGGTGCGTACAATTATTATTGAAAGTTATCGATTGTTGAATTTTAGTGAGAATCTTGCTATTGTGAATTTCACTCACAAGAAAATGGTACATTTCTATCAGCTAATATGGTTTGAATACAAATTGAGTTAATTAAAAGAATTTCGAAGGTATCGTATCTAGTAAAACATGGCCTCAAATATAGTTTCTTTTACAAATAAAATAAAATAATACATTCAAATTATGCTTTTTGAAAAGAAGTAGGACACAGCTAGGATTCGCTGATATTATTCGAAGGATGAAGAGATGCAGAAAATGATTGACGCACGTTTCTAACCTCGTCTTTTATATAGTCTCAATAAAACAGCGCCTGAATTTATGCGATGAAATCCATGCTGTAAACTGAATATTTGATTCCAACAGTGAAATAAATTTTTAGACCACAAATCAACATCGAATTGATGAAAACTTGTTTTGAGTTCCTAAAAAAAAAGAGAAAAAATAGGTAAAAAATAATTACATTTAGCTTCGAATGCAAACTAAAAGCTCGTAGCTGACGAGAATTTCATAGAATTTCATAGAAATGTATTTGAAGTTCATATAAATTAAGTAAAGTTTGAGCTGAAAACATTGAAAAATTAAATTTTATATTTAATTCAATTAAAAATTTTCTGAAAAAGAAAATAAAATAATACAACATTACTTTGCCATAATGTAGTAAACAAAAATGCCTAAAATTCCTGAAAAAAAAATTTAATAATAATTTTTATCTTCTCTCTATCTCTCTTGTTTGCTTTTTTTATTTTTGCCACCCATCTAAGGCACAAGGCCACAAAGAAATACCTATTTGGTTGGGTGAGGAGCCACGTTATGTGTCCGGCGTGAATAGTCGCACCACCTGCACTGACATTATCAAAGCGCTGATTGATGATGAAATTCGTAATGGAGGCAATCACGATTATTGTGCCAATCGTAACAAATGTAAGTCAGAATAAAAAATGAAAAATAAGAAATGAAACAGCTAATATGGTAGTATGTATATATGTATGTACATAGAATAGCATGAATAAGTAAAAAAAAACTGCTCGAAGGGAGGCGTATAAAAAGGTAAACTTGCCACCTTTTTTGCGTCATTCACCTTTATTGTATTGCACAATGTGTTTAATAATACATTTTTTATTACTTACAAAAGGCAAATATGTATTATAATAGCGCTAGAAATATGTACATACATATAATACAACAACAAAATCAATGCACTAAATACATTTATTTCATTTGGTATGTAATAATATGCTAATTTCTATGGATTTCTTTTCATTTTTGGCATTCTCCTACAAACCGCCTACTTAAACACCTTCACCCTTCCACTGTGATTGCTGGTGTAACTCTTGGCGTGACTTGACCATGCTGCCTGCTTGCGCTACCTGCTTTACATTGCTGTTTTACTGTTTTATTGTTGTACACATGAACAATGCATCCGGTACTTTTCACGAACTATGGACTCACTTCCGTTTCGACTCGGCTGACGTGGATGGCGGGGTGTGTGTGTGTGTGTTGTGTAACTTTTTCTTACTTGTCGCTGCTTGACACCCACCAATACAAATTCACTATATTTTTGTATATATATGTATGTATGATATGTATGTATGCATGTATGCGCAAAAACAATGTGCAAATAGTTGACGCAGCATCGCGTGACTACACCGATTACGTTATAACGGAGTGTTGGCGCGGTATCGAACGTAGCTACGATGGTAATATGGCAATTTTGCCCGTTTGGAAGGCCTGGAGTCGTGTACACAATGAGGTAATTCACTAACATTTGCTCGATTTGTTTGTTTTTCATTTTATTGTTTAAGTATACAAACACATGCAACTACTATACATGTATGTATGTGTGTACATGCGATTTACTTGTATGTAGTCCTCAATAGATCCATATTCCCATGTCTATAGCTGTGATTATATAATTTCAGCGCGTTGAAAAAGGCAAAAATATATTGTAGCCACGAGTGAATTAATCAATACGGTGTAATATAAAGCATAAAAAACCATAATAAAATAATATGAGTAAAGCAACCTTTATTTAGGTGTTTCGCTGCTAATTAAGGTTTTCTTTTTTATTAGTTTTTTTTTAAATAACGCAAAGAATTACCTTTTCTTTGATAGAAATATGTTTGGGCACTTTCTGGTTGCATCTAGTTCTGATTGTCTGTATACCATTTATATGGGTGTATATAATCGGCGCTTTGTAGGCGCTGAAGCGATTTTCGACCGAACTCCTCCTCCAATTTGTGGTGTGCGTCTTGATGTTTTTCCAACAAATGGAGGGACTTACAATTTATACTAAGCCGCCTCCGAACGGCTGAACGGTTTTTTATGAGAAACCTTTATTTCATGTCAGAAATACATCAGGACCGGTTGACATTCCCTGCCGAGGAGCCACCGCAATTAGAAAAATTACCTTAATTTTTTATTTTAAATTAATTCTCCATAACTTTTCGTTGTTGGTCGTACCTTGATTTGAATCCTAGCCTAACGAAGGGCAGTACGCGTTGCTAACCACTCGGCGTATGTATACTATTACTTGTTATTTCCATTCGGAAACCGTGCTTTCACAAGGTACACTAAATCTGCATACGCCACCCTTTAGAAAATTCATCGTCCCAGTTATGGAGTTTCGTATTCTTCGCACTCTAAAGTAGTGTTGTCAGAGGGACCAAGTACTTTGCAGCTTTTTTCTTCTTTACGTAATAAATTGTTATCTCGATACAATCTGTCGTAAAAAAAGTAGCACTTTTCCCCTATCATGGTCCCCTGGTTGATATTTTATTAAGGAACTACTTGCCAGTGGTGCTCTAGGCTTTTGGTAAGTTATTTTTCACTAGAAATTAACCCGACCTCAGATTGCGTCGGTATAAGATTCCGTTTTAACATAACTTCTGTAACTACCAAAGCAGGGAAGTAAGCCGCAGATACCTATTGCTAGATATTAGCTTAGCTCGAGCGTACCATTTCAGCATGGTCTCAACAAAGGTAGGGAAGAGTTTTTTTAACAAGGAAAGCAAAGAAAATCTGTAGGCAATAAGTTGAAGAGGAAAAAATCGTGAACGGTTTGGGTTTTGGAAAAACTTCTTATCCGATGACAAGATCTAAGCATGTACTGCACTTGTTGCTAAACGACGACAAGCTTCTTCCTTCCATTACACACATCTGTAGTTCTCGTTCATTAAGAGATCTTTCTGTGAACGCTATTTACAAAGGAGAAGAATTTGGCTTATCAGCTCTATAGCTTTTTCATGTTCTTTGTTTCTCTACATCTGGCTAAATAATATGATTTTCCATTTTCAGATACGTCTTAGCCTTAAACACAAACAGGATGTCGCTGAACCCGCACCGCCAAAACAATGCAAAAATTGGCTACAGTCGCTACGAAAATATTTTGCCAAATTATGGAAATTCACGAAACGAAATAATAAAACTCTACCCCCACCTGCTGCAAACAAACAACTAAGCCGATTACTACCCATCGAGGAAGAAGCGGACTGTCCCGACGAGATTGTATTTATATTATTGCCCGATAAGAAATATGATAATTTAACGGAACCGCAACCGGAAAACAGTAAACACCTACAAGCAACCGCAAACAATGTAAACGATCCATCAACAAAAGCAGAGATGTTAAAAAAGAAACTCTACAGTCTCTCCGAGACACGTGTATCGATGTGTCGCAAAAAGCGTTTTGTTGGGTGTAAAACGCCCAAGAAGAGAAAAGCGTGTACAAAACAAAGTGAAAATGTTGCCAACGTACCGCAAATAGCGGCAAATAATTGTATACGGCGTCGCAAAGATGCGCCTTTACGTAATTCCCTACGTCATAAGTTGGCACAGAAGACGAACGAAATCGATACGCTCTACAAACGTGAATATGAGCTAACGAAACGTTTAACGCATAAATGTCAACTCTATAAGGAGCATAATGAATTATACACCAAGGCGGATCAACAAATGGAAATCTCTATTGGTGAAATACAACGAAGTGTTGAACAGTATGCCGAACAAATTATACAAACGGAAAACGAGTTGCGCGAGTTAAAGAATGAAATTAAACACGATATATCGATTGTGAATAACCTCAAGCGTATGACACTGAACGCGATAGAGACTGCCGTTGATTGTGGCGTACCGATAACTGTCGATCTTAACGACGACAACGACGGTAGCAATCGAGCACGTGAACGTAGGAGAGATGCAAATGCAGAAATGCAGTTTGTTGATAATATTTATGAATTCTGTGACAATAACGCAAGCATGTTGGTATAAAATAAGTTAAATAAATGAAATTTTCCGCGTTTTTAAATCAAATATATTTTTGGTAACACCAAATGTGCCTAAATTAGAATCGACAAAAACTTTCACTTAAATTAAAATTTTAATAATAATTAATTTTAATTTTTTTTTAATTTTATTATATAAGTTTTAACTAGTTTAACTTAAACAGGTTACGTGGACAATAATTTACTTAAAAATTGTTTCATATTAGAAAAAATTAAGATATCATACTTGTTATTAAATATATAAATATAAGTAGCAGTACTGCGAACTTGAACTGATTAAAATATAAGTTTGAATAAAATAATATAACTACATGAAAATGTTAAAATATCTGTATATGGTTTTTTTTATTCAATCTCACATCTACTGGCTGTTTTACCACAACAGCACGAATCGTTGAGTGCGGAAGGGCTCCCTTCCTTTGCAAAAAACTGAAGTAAACTGTCAAGTTGGGCTTGCTTTGACTGCTTTAGAGATAACTTGCTTGCTCTGCGTGATATCTCTAACTTTGCTGGAAGAGCGAATATGCACATTATGCCACAATAGAAATCTGAATTGAATTATTTTTCTAACAAAAAAATAACAATAAAAAAACTTAGATTATATCTGTCCCATGCTATAGAATTAAAAAATAATAAAATAACTTGAAACTAGCTCATTATCAACTTGCACAAAACAATGAAAGTTGGTCAACTTTTATCGTTAGCGCTGTCAAAACAGGAAACTTCGCATAGTTGCATGGATTAAACTCAAATGTCAAATCTAATAAAATTTCAAACATATATCTATAACTTTTGTCGAAATAACAAGTCGAACATGAACAGAGTTGCTCCGATTTGCTGTCGCTAGCTTTTATAAGCTCAAAATAGCTTGCTGACGTCCAAAATGAATGAGGAGCATCAAAAAAATTCCATACATTTTTTTAAATATTATTAATATAAGATTGAACTTATAAGGCTAGTTAAGCTATATTCCTTTCCATTTTTTTATTTATATTATATTTATCCACATAAATCGTCATGAACTTTGCTAAAATATATTTGCGACTTGACTGAAAATATTTGATATATATAAAATTTTCATTTTGAATGATTGATTGAGTGAATGATTGCTTGATTTTCTCCACTATTGTGAATGTAAACAGTGCTCTCGGGAAAAGAAGAGTTTGTTTACGATTCTAGAAAAATATCAATTCAACAGCTGACCTTCGCCGAAAACCACAGGAAATAGGTGACCGAGGTATTTGTGTATGGGAATTTTAAACTACTAAACTGCACGCTTCCTTCAGTTATTAAAAATCATGGAAACTAGTAATTTAACCGAAATATCTTCCGGGCCATCAGTAGATAGTGTAAGACCCAAAAAACACATACTGAGTGCTGCAGAATATGCAAATATTTGTAAATTCATACAACATTATCACGGCCTTGCTATTGATTGTGAAATGGAGATGGTGAATCGCATTTTTCCAGACATTGACAGGTTAGCATTAAAGAGTATCTTGCAAACAGAGTTAACAACACGTATACGGGCACAGCATTGGCAATATGATTCAAAAGCAAAGAAACTCCTGCAAGCGTAAGTGTCATATATTTGTACAAAAAATATGTACCACAATGCTTTTTATGATGATTATGGTAATTTCTAACCAAGTTCTTCTCTTCTTAACAGTTTTGAAGATCAAGTAGGCACACATCCAGCACCAACATTATTGCTGAAAATTGCTTGTGTAGAAGGCATAAGCCCAATGGCGCTTTGTCGTAATATATTGCAGTATAAGTATACGTTTTTACAGAAGTCGGAATTAAATCGGCTACTAAAATATCCACATCTGATCGATGATCCCAAATTAGCTGCTAATGTCGCGCAATGTATGTGTAGTGATTCCCAAGATGGGCCTCTTGTAGATCTCCGACGTCGGATCCTGGGTGAGGAGTACGAATTCAAGGTAAGCCAAAATATAAGAAAAGAAAATATTTATTTAGAAGTATTATTAATAAAAGAAAAATTATTCAGTTAAAAGAAATGGCCAAAGCTGCTAATATGCATTATTATGATGAAAATGACCTCCGACGACTTGGCTACGATAAAACACCCGATATCAAAATGATAGTTCCATTCCTATACAAAGGCGAAGTGGTTAATTGGATTGAGAGTAAAGCAACCTTCGGTGATGTGAAAACTCATAAATGGTATATTCAACAGCAGCTATATAGTTACAGTAATCGGTATGCAGTAGTGTGTCTCTTTCATAGCTTTTTATTGTTTTTTTTTTTAATCTATTGATATATTTTTAGATTTGGCGCCGGCATTGTCATTTATTGGTTTGGCTATCATGAGGATACTCCTCGCATTCCCGATAATAACGTCGGCATCATTGTATTGGATGATTTTCCATCATCAGAAAGTATGGTATTCCTCAATCTCAGTGATAATGAAAGCAGTCTACCGGCGCAGTTAACAGAAACCGAAAATCTATCTGATTCTAAGGTCTAACTATGAAACGTTTAATTTGTTTTAAATTTATAGCTCGTTCTTTAAAAATAAGCAATATTTATATATATTTTTCCACTTATTTAGTTAGCAAAAACAAAAAACGATGCATTACATTACATCCTTCTGGTGTAAGAAAATAGAGGAAAAATACATTTTTTATTATTTTGACTCTTTTAATGTTTACCATATACATACATATGTATATAAAACCTGTTTCAATAAATTTTATATTAAAATCAGTTAAATGTGGATTTTGCAATTTTGAAGGAAAATATTTTACGAGTTAGTTCGATTATCGGGCAAAAGTTTTATCGATAACGTTGATAGTTTTTTTTTTGTTTGTTTAATCATTGTGATTAAACAAATTAACTAAAAAGAAGAAGCATTCAAAATATTCTTTGACACGTCAGGTTTTTAATTACAAATTCTGGCATTTCCCAAAATATTCATTGTTAATAAAGATTTTGGAAACAAAACATCAACTTTAATACGCTCTTATCGAAATAATAAATCAATTATGAGACTGAAAAAATTTTTGCTAATATCCGCCGTTGTTATAGTGCTAGCTCATTTTGTAATAGCACTACCGGTGACAAAAAATAAAAAGGAAGAAATGGAAGAAGCACCAAAGCCTGCTGAGCCTCAGGATGTGGAAACAGCTTTGGAATATGAGAGATATTTAAAAGAAGTTGTAGAGGCTCTGGAAAGCGATCCCGATTTTCGAAAAAAATTAGATAAAGCACCTGAAGCTGACATACGTGTAAGTATCTGTGTGTAGGTTTGTTGAGAAAAATTACTAGTGTATTATTTATGAATTTTTAAAACAGAATGGGAAAATTGCACAAGAACTTGAGTATGTGAATCATCACGTGCGTTCCAAGTTAGATGAAATCAAACGTCGTGAAGTCGAACGTTTGCGAAAATTGGTCAATCAAGAGTATGAGTTAGAAAATGAAATTGATCGAGATCATCTCAAAATTCCACAACATATAGACCATCACAACGAGCACACTTTCGAAATTGAGGATCTTAAGAAATTGATTAAAAAGACTTCAGAAGATTTAGCTGAAGCTGATAAAAAACGACGTGCTGAATTTAAAGAATATGAAATGCAAAAAGAATTCGAGAAAGAAACTAAATTGAAGGAAATGCCTGAAGAAGAACGAAAAAAATTTGAACATGAGGAAAAAGAAAAGGAAGAAAAACACAAGAAACACGAAAAAGTTCATCATCCAGGCAATAAAGCGCAACTAGAAGATGTCTGGGAAAAACAGGATCAAATGGATAAAAAAGATTTTGATCCACACTCATTCTTCATGATGCATGGTGGGTAAATTAGAAAAGAAAGATTTCATTAAAATAATAATTTTTTTTTAGACGTCGACGGTAACGGCTACTGGGATGAGATTGAAGTAAAAGCACTTTTCATTAAGGAACTAGACAAAGTATACCAATCCGGTTTGCCTGAGGACGATATGCGTGAACGTGCCGAAGAAATGGAACGTATGCGTGAACATGTTTTCGAAGAATCAGATACCAATCGTGATGGTCTAATTAGCTACCAAGAGTTTTTGGATCAAACCAAAAGGGATGAATGGAATAAAGATCCCGAATGGGAGACTGTTGACGAAAAACCACAGTACACACATGAAGAGTACTTAGAGTTTGAAAAAAGACGACAAGAGGAAATTCAACGTATGATTGCACAAGGATTGGTAATAAAAAATTATTTAATTTAATTTTGTATGTGCGTATTATCATAAATATTTTTGTATATCAGTTGCCACCACATCCCAACATGCCACAAGGCTATTACCCTAATGGTGCACATGATACTTATCAGGTTGGTGGACAGCAGCAGGTACCAATTGGTCAACAACAGATGCACTATCAGCAACCACAACAACAACACATACAACAACAACAGCAATATGCACAGCAACAACAACAATATCAACAGCAGCAGCAACAATTCCACGGTCAACCTGTTCAATTGCATCCAAATCAAGCTTATCAAACGGTTAATGGACATCAGGAATATCAGCAAGCGCCCCAACAGCAACAATACCAGCAGATGCCACAGCAACAATACCAGCAGATGCCACAGCAACAATATCAGCAGATGCCACAGCAACAGCAATATCAACAGGTGCCACTACAACAACAAGTGCCACAGCAGCAGCAGCAGCAACAACATCAACAACCACAGCAGCCGATACAAAGTCAACAACCACAACAGCCAATTCAAAGTCAGCAACCACAACAGCCAAATCAAAATCAACCACAACAGCCAATTCAAACTCAACAACAACCACCACAAGCAGCACCAGCACCAGCACCCGCACCGGTACAACAGCCACAACAACAGCAACAAACTTATGAAGATCACACAAATATCATAAAACGTTCAGTTCATGTCTAACAACAAAACATTCCACCAAACTACTAAACTGACACGTCTTCAAGTCTAACTAACGCAAGCACATTAACTTTGAACAGTTGCTGCTATTGTTTATTCAACAAACAGTCATTGCGATCAATAAGAAATGTCCTCATTTCATAACAACCGATTTAATAATGACGTGTACTACAACTACACATATACACATTTACTAAATAACAGTCTATTTATATAAATACGGGGTCTCCACACTATTGTGTATTTATAATTCCATTTTATTCTATTGTAATTTATTATGCTTCTGTACGTACGAAGTAAATGTGGCATTTTGTATACCAACTGATTATTGTCTGTTCAATGAAATCGAATTTTCCGCACTCAAACTGTAACCGTAAACGATAGAAACAGAAAATCTTTTATACATCGCAATAAAAAAGAGAGTTATGAACTTTTCTTTATGAAAATATGTATAATTAATTGAATTTAATTAAATTATTTCATATTTCATATGCAAATAATTATATGTACATACATACATATGTGACCTGTACTAATAATTGTTTAACTGCGCTATATGCATACATATTTTCAATAGAAACACAATTACAAATAATTTTGAAACTGAAATAAACATCATTATTGATTTCGGTTTAATTAATTTATTCTTTTTGAAAAAGAAAAACTTACTCAAAACTGGGTAACTTTTCGAGCGAACTAAACAGGTAAGTCAGAGTCAAGGTGATATCAAAGAACGTACGAGTATATAATATTGTCCAAAGTGTTCTAAGAAAACCGGCAATTGAATTTTTCGTTAAACCTTCGAATGTTGATTTGTTCGAGAATATTTCGATTCTCGTGTACGTTTTGCTGGGATTTGCAACTATTTAGTTATTAGATTTTGTGGAGCTCTGCTATTCTTTTCGCTTTTTCATTACCTATTTACCTCATGAAAACACACTGCACCCACATTTGTTCATAAACATTTTGAATTTTCGTAATTTTATTTATTTATCATTCTTTAGTAAAAACTAACTAATTTTCTGTGAATATAAGTTTGAAATACGTAAAATGATATTAGCACTACTACACATAAACGAAATTAATTTATGTAAATGCTTTTAAATGGATTATAAAATATATAATTTCTTTATTATCAAGTAAATTATAGTGGATTTAGATTTTTATACTTTATATAATGTGGTTTAAAAAAATTAATTTTCCTTTTTTTTAATTTTTTTTTAATATAAAACCGAATAAAGCACAATAGCGGCTGGCACTAGCATTTCATTAGACTAAAGACGCAGCACAGGCTTTCTCATTTTTTTTTTTTTTGTTAAACAAACTTATTTTTCTAATATTCATAAAAAACATGTTTTCAGTATGAATGTGGTAAGGTTAAGCTTAATTATACATGTTTGTATGTATGTGTATAACGTAAAAAATTATCTGAACGCTTTTGAAGAAGGCAAAATACATACTGATTGTTAAGGCAGCTTTATATACATATATGTTTATAACGTATAATATATGTATATACACATATGTATATGGAATCTACTAGAAAAATAGTAATTTAAACAAATATAATTTTTTTTATTAAATTAAAATCTTTTACACTTGGATGTTTCAAAAATTGCATAGAAATTTTTCCCAATTTTTATTTTTTAAATTTGTTCATTTGTTTATCGAATAACTTAGTTTATTAAATTAAAAATTTTAAATAATATTAATAGAAAATTTATTTTGAATATTTGATTATTTTATTACGATATTGAAATAAAAAAATTCATTTGATATAACTCAGTTTTGTTCTAAATTAATGTTAATTTACAATTATACTATACATACTGCCCCAACAAACGCATATACATATGAATTTTTGCTCTCCACGCTCAGTCGTACCCCAAAGAATCTCATTTTGATTTATATGATATGATATGATCGCTTTTTTTGGTTAAGCTCAAAAGCATAAAAATGCTTTCAATTGATTTCAAAAGCAACAAAAGCAGTCTAGAGTACATGAAGCAGCTTCACAACAAAAATATGAAAAAAATTTTTTTTAATTAAAAAAGAAATATTAAATAAAGAAAAAATGTAAAAAAAAATTTTTTTAAAAAAATTAAAAAAAAATTTTAAATAAAGAAAAAATAAAAAAAAAAAAATTTAAAAAAAATTAAAAAAAAATATTAAAAAAGAAATATTAAATAAAGAAAAAATGTAAAAAAAAATTTAAAAAAAAATAAAAAAAAATTAAAAAAAAATAATTAAAAAAAAATATTAAAAAAGAAATATTATATAAAGAAAAAATGTAAAAAAAGAATAAAAATTTATAAAAGGAAAAAAAAGAATAAAAATATATAAATTTTTATTTTACAAAATATACTCTCGCGCAAATTACAATTTGACGGCAACAATAAAAATTTAACATTGCACTAATACCCACACAAGTTAATGAAAAAATACGTTGTATGAGGCATAAAGGAAAAGTTTTTGTTGTTGTCAGCAAGCAATGAGTATAAAGCACTTTTTGGGTATATCTATTTGAAGAGAATGTATTTTCTTCTTTCTTGGAAACACATACACATACATACATGCGTATGTATGCGTGCAGCTATATATAATAAACATTTATATACTATATAAACATTATATGTATGTATGTTTGTTTGTTCTATGATGAATGATGGTCCCACTTATCGAATTGACGTAACCTTTTTTTGTTGTAGTTATGCAGTCACTGATAAATTTGCGCACAAATACTGGCCGACCTTGACATTAACAAACAAAAAAGAAGGAAAAAATAAACAAAAAGAAGAAAGAAACAAAGTGAAGAAACAACAAAAAGAAGAAATAAAAAATCAACACGAAAAAAATATATAAACACAAATAAAAAAAATATATATAAAAAATAAAAAATATATATAAAAAAAAATAAAAAATATATATACAAAAAAAATTAAAAATATATATAAAAATAAATAAAAAAATAAATATAAAAAAAAATAAAAAATATATATAAAAAATAATAAAAGATATATATAAAAAAAAAATAAAAAATATATATTGTATAAAAAAAAATAAAAAATATATATTGTATAAAAAAAAAACAAAAAATATATATAAAAAATAAAATAAAAAAAAAATATATAAATATATATAAATATATATAAATATATAAATATATATAAATATAAAAAAATACGTAAAAATGAAAAATAAATGAAATATAAAAAAATAAAAATTAAAAAAAAATAATAATAATAAAACCAAAAAAAGAACGTAGTATTTAAATAATTATTTAGCGTTATTAAATGAACTTTTATAAACAACATCAGGAGCAAAGGGACAAAAGTTGTAAACAAATTTTTCTTTCAAATATTTTGTACCATTAAATGGTTATGCTAAATAATATGTATACAATTTTACTTTTGATTGAAATTGGCACAATATAGAAGTAAGTAGAAAAACGTTAGAAATAAAAGCATTTGTATTTATAATTATATGTATGTAAATATGTATGCAATTTAAAGGCTAATTTTAACAATGAATAGCAACAGTTTTGTATTTGTATGCATAATGAATACAGTTATATTTTTGCATGAATGAACAGAATATATGTATGTATGTATATGAAATAGAAATATTAAACAATTAATGAGCACAAATAAATTTTTTTTGCAGTTTAGCAACAGTAGCATAAAACTATATATTATTTTTTATATATAAACAGATTTCTATATATTTTTCTTTTTTTTTTGTATTTATATAGAACGGAGGCGTAAGTAAAAAATACATTTTATATTTAATGTTAGTTTTTACTTTTTTCGAACGAAAGCTTAAAAACTATTATTTTTTTTTTGTTCCAAACTACTTCTCTTTTATGCACTTTAAATAATATGAAATTCGTATATTTTCTTTGAATAACTTTATTTTGTTTCATTTTTCTTTCTTTCTTATTCTCTCGTATTATACCAACAGTTAGTGAGCAGCTAGTTATTGTTTCCATTTTCATCCATTCATACTGGATACACGCTTATATGCACGTTAATGTAGTAAATAAAAGTCAGACATTAATGGTGACGCTGGTCACTTTTTGCTAATGGTTTCTTTAAGCTCATTACATGTTGCTAATGGCTATAAAATAAGGCATTCTTCTTCTTCTTCTTTCATTTGCTTAATACTTCCCCTGATTTATCATATATTGTAACTTGTAAATACATGATGTGTTTCATTCGCGCTGTTTGTAGTTGTTGTATTTTCTTTTTTTTTTTCAAAATAGCACGTAATGTATGTTTCAATTTATTAGCTTTTTGTGACTCAATCGTTAAATAGTTTTTGTTTTCTCGTTTTTTTTTTGTTTTTTAATTTAAATTTAATTAACACATATACATATAATTATTATTGTTAATAGTTTCTCTTAAGAAAATAATTAATTATATGCACTTCTAATATTCGAATTTGACATATCTCAGAAATTTTTCTTTTCTAATTACATAAATATGTATACAATACAAGTTTTTCTTTTGTTGCTTTATCATGGTTTGTTCGCGCTTTTCCTTGTCTTCTGTACAAAACATAAAGTCCAAGTACATATCTATAATTTATCGTATTAAAAGTAATATTTATAATATAGGTAGGTAGTTTAGAGAGTATAAGGTAATGCTTTGAATTTTGTTACATTTCACATTAATTACGTGATATTTATTCTACACACATGTTATTATATTAGCTTTAGCTTAGTTTCTAGCTCTCAAGAGGATGCTATTCCTTCTTCCGTCTCCTTTTTGTGGTGCAAAAAAGTAATATTAGTGCAGAGGGAAGAGCACACAACAGAGGTATTTTTCTTAACTTACACAGTTTCTTTAAAGTTTCGCATTTCGATTAAGAAAAATGAAATATAAATATATTTTTCTAATCTTTTTTTTCATTTTTCTGTGCATATGTACGTAGTAGAGCGCGTTTCTTTCAAAAGATTTTTGCTTTTGGCGCCTGAGCTACCATGTATACAGACATGTCGTTAGGAAATAATACTACAAAATATATGTATTATCCCTAGAGCTAGAAACTAAGCTTTAGTAATATGTAATTATGATAAGTTGACGACATGATGATATGAATTGAAGTTTATCGTCGTGCTGTCGCCATTGCTGGTTTTGGCAAGCCGCTACGTTTGATATTCGTTGTTGGCGGTCTTAAACCAGATGGTTTTGGTATGCCCGTTGAACCGGTGGTAATTTTAGTCAAATTCAATGTATTTGCATTTGTTGCAGATTTTGCGCTACATTTTCCAACATTACCACTGCTGCCACTACTATTTTGTATGCTACCGCGTGACGAAGCTGAGGACATACTCTGTTTTGGAAATGTAGAAAAATAACTGCATTATTTGTTTTCCATTTATAATATGTATTCACATATAAAACTTACATCGGTTGGCGAATGTCTGCCGCCGTCCGAGTCGACATCGTTCACTAGCGGTGGTTGTGGCAGCGGTGGCATGCCCTTGACGGCGAGACTGTTGAGACTGTAGTAACCGGAAGAAGGTCGCACTAAGCCAGCACGTTTTACGCCAGGCGCACGCAAACCAGACACTAACTTTGGAACTTTGAAAACTGCATCATCAGGCTGTAGAATTAGAATTAATTTACTTAGTTTTATAATTAGTTTCATAAATAATTCTATTTCAGTTACCTGTGAGGGTGCTGCATTCGAGATACCATTGCCAATGCGCTAAAAAAAAAAATATATTAAGACACACGTATTTTAAAAAAGAGCTCAACGCTTGTGCAAAGTTCTCATTGCAAACTTACCTCTTTGGCGGCATTCGTTGTCGTAACTCCACCGATTTCATAACCATTGGGTTTCTTCAAACCAATACTGTTGACACGCATCCCCGACAAATTATTAGCACTGCCATTAAAACCAAAATTACTAGACAAATTATGGAAGGATTTCGATTTAGTGCCCATGGGACTTTTAACTTCTTCCGTTGAAGCTTTTAACGGTTGTGTGCGATTGTATTTATTGGATGCGGCAGCGATCGTAGCTTTAACATCCTGACAGCTATTCAATGCAACATGACTGACGCTAGCGTTTGGTGGGCGTATACCTGGCGCTGTAGCACGATCCAAATCCCCTGCTGATGTCGCCTTAACAACGGTCATCTTTTGCAAGCCAGAAATATAACGTGGGCGAGAGCGTGAACGTAATCGACTTGGTGGTTCTGGCATCTTTTCAAGTTCCCCACTGCTGGCGCTAGCCACTTCAGGAGTGGTGTCTATTTCTGGTAGATTACCAACAAGTTTTGGTTTATCTCTCGGCTTTTTGTATGTTAAGAAATTCGGATTGATTTTTGATGCTGCCGTTGGTTTTGTGACGCCGTTTTGACTACCAGAAACTGGTCTCATATCATCGTACATATTTTCAATTTCCGATTTATTATTATTGAAGACTTCTGTACACTCTGTAGAAATATCATCATCAATGCAAGGCACATTCACTGCTACTAAGCCATCATTTGCACTGCGTCCTTTAACGATTTTTATCGTTTTGAACCGATCGCGGTCACGGTCCCGCCGTTCCGACAGTTTATATGTGCCTATGCCACTATAATCGTTTTTAATTGTAGGTGGATGAATGCTTTCGCTTGCTTCTTCAGTCTTTTCAAAATTATTCATTTGCTTTCCATCGTTATTACATTCAGTCTCATGCTTGTCTGCCACCGTTTTCGCTGAGCACTCGTATTCGTTGTCTTCACGATTGTGCACTGTGTATGAAGCACCCAGTGAGCTTGTTGGAGATTGAGTATTGGCTGCGGAAATCGTAGAAAGATTTATATTATCATAAAGACGACTTCGTCTACTAAGCAATCGTTCGCTTGATGTAGTAGCATTACCACCAACCCCACTGCCACTGCCAACCAATGAAGTTGCAGCGGAAGAAGTAGATGCGGAAGAGGGGGAAGGTGACGATAGGCCAGATAGCGCCGAGCTTTCATTCAATTTGTATGCACTCAATTCGGTCTTTATATAACTACCATTACGCCTTTGATCGTTCATATCACTGGGATTTGCTTCAATTGGCTTGTCACTCAAATCGGCAATCTCTTGATCACTACCAAATCCTTGATGCAAATGCGGAGTTTTTGACAAGGTGACAGTATCGCGATTAAATCGACGTTTTATTGTCTCTAATGATTTCTTCATTTTCACATGTTCAGCATTAACTTCTACTTTACTGAATTCTTCCAGCATATGTTCGAATTCTTGATCATTATTGCTTGCCAAAAGCTCTTCCTCAGCGTGCGCTAATTCCAGCACATTCTGCATTTGTATATCTGCTGCGCTTTGCTGCAATACTTGCGTTCTACCGCCAATTTTGTCGAATGTCTCATTGGGGTTTTCAATATCATCCAACATTTGTTCGATGCTCTCTAGCCGAGGCAGTGTGCCTGAATATGTTTTCGAATTAACTTTCTTAACATCAGACCCTTGACCAAAGGAATCATCAAACGCACGCTGTTTATCCGTTTCACCAACTATAGGAGAGATATTTACTTCATCCACTGTCAACTTTGACGTGGTTGGTGTATTTTGTTGAGCACTTTTATTCCAACTGGACGTATGTGGTGTAGATTCATAAAACTTGCGTGAACCTAAGGTTGCCGCCACATTTTCTGGTGTCTCGCAACGGACTTCCGTCGCCAGACGAGCATCAGGTGTCAGCTGTTTGAATTCGAAAGTTGCATTCGCTTTATTAGGTATACACACGGTTTCATCCATGGGCCAAGGACGTTTGAAGGTTTCATTGCATAATTTGGCTGTGGTGGCCAGAGTTGCAATATCATTACCATTAATGCTGCTTTCACATAAACTGCTTTCGACCAGATCGAAAGTTGTGTCACTAATGACCTCATCGCTAAGCAGTATTGTACGATCCATTATGTTACATTTATTTTGTGGTACAAATACTGTAGTGTTAGTAGCGGATGCTTGCACACCGTTTCGTTGTAGGAGCTGCTGTTCTTCCTGCATACTCTCAGTTGAATTGTCCATGGTACTATAACCGGATGCTGTTTTACTTAAAGCCAGTGATATATCATCAATCTGTCCAATATGGGAGTCTTTAATTAGTGTACCATCACCTGACATTGTTAGTGATTCTAGTGCTTTTCGATCACGTATCATATCGCTTAATGTATAACCGTCACTGGTAGCTTTATTTGCTAAATTAAACATTTCGCCACCATTGAGGGTCGGTTCGTTAAAGTCGATGCTTTGTGTAGATTGTAGGAAATTTATATTTGTAAAATCGGCTGATGTGATGAGAGAGTTATTCATACGTTCCATAGACACTTCCATGGAGGAACATATAGAGGATGGCGGAGATGTGTCTTGCAAAAATGACTTATGCATTGTCGTAACAAGGCCACCGATTTCCATATTAAATGCTTGAGGTTGAGGGGATGCAATGGTGAATTTTGGCTGGAACTGTTCTTGTTGGAATGGAAGCGTAGAGTGCACAGCATTATTTACACCCGGTAAGTGTGCCTTAAAAATAGTTGATAAATTAATAATATAACGATAAATAAATTTAAAAATTACACATTTACACAAATTCTTTACTTACAAAGTGCTGTTCTAGATTCTGAGCCGACTTCTTACGTGGTCTTGTAAATGTTTTCGAATTGAGTTTGTAGCCTATTATACATAATGGTGGTTGTATGTAATATATCCATTTCAGGTTCGTAGGTCGACAATTTGTTGTGTGGCCGGTCCATAATAATTTTGTATGAATTAATATGGAAAGAAAAAGAACGTTACTTAGCAATGGACAACTGCTCCAAATTTGGAGTGGTACAACTTATGCAAAAAGGGGAACACAGCGGTGCAACACAAATACGTTTTTGTAAGTACAATTTCGCATAAGTGTTTGTAAATTGTTTGTTAGTTAATATGTGTGCCAACTATACATAATACAAGACAAGAGATTACCATATGGTATAACGTACTTCAGCAAAGTGCGAAATAGTGTGGGCTTCAGGGACAAGCGCAAAGATATAATAGAGAATAAAATAATGTACGTAGTTTAAAAGTGAAAACTATGAATCACTGATATTTGCAATATATTTCTCAAATTGCGATCACATTATTTTCATATTCGTTACGCAAAACCAAAAATATTTATGTGAATTTTATCTTTACGCACTATCCCATAAATACACACCCATACATTTATTGAAAACACAACACGGAAGCTTTAGACCGCTACGTCATGTCACCGCTACTAATTTCCGATGGTTTTACAGTTTCATACCTTGTTCTTGCTGATACTGCGGCGGTAGTTGACAATTGTTGCTCTTCCATTGTTGCAAGATATTCGAAACATCATCGTGTGTTTTATCTTCCAAGCAGCTATAAAGATAAATCAATAAAGAGAAAGCAAAACAAAAATGAAGTTAATTGCTCAAGCGATATTTGTGCTGTTTTGATACGTACATAAAAGAATCATCTTTCAGTGCTTCATCTATGTCCAAAATATCCATCGTTATATTATTTAATTTGAGTTGCTATTGAGCTCTTAAGTTCCACCCGTTCCAAATCTTCAGTAGAGGGTTTTTGCTACTGCTATTTACGCGTATTATCGTTTCCTTATTATTCTAACGTATTTCAACTCAAAAATAAAAGCTAATAATAACACGAAAGAAATAGCACAATCTTAAAAATAAAACAAAAAGCATCAACGAAGGAAAATAAATGATTATCGTTTCCTTTCTCAAATCTTCCAATTGTCAACTACAAAAAAAATGAAAAATCTGGTTTTAGCAAAGTGTTTAATAGTTCATTTTTTCGAAGTATTTACACACTATTTATACCAAAAATATGCAATTTTTGCTTAACTTTCTACATTTGATAAGCGCAAATAGTCTTTCTCATCTTTTCACTAGCAATTATTCACCTTTTTTATTAATAAAATCGAAAATATGCAGCCCTCCGCAAAAAAATTTATCCAGCTGCTCTATGGGCGATGACAAAGAACTGACTGCCGATGTGTTAAAGCTGATGACCTCGATTCTTAAGCTTATCGATATTAAGGCAAAAGATAATCAAATTTTAGTTACTGGTATTGTATTTATGTAAAAAAAAACTAGTTTATACAAATTAAGCCTGCAAGGCCCTTCATCAAAGTTATAAACTGCTGTTATTATTTTTATAACAGCAAAATATTATCCGAATTAGTTATCGATGGAATATTTGCGGGAGTATCAGTCCTTGGTCGGATAACAATTCGGGTTGTTCTGGTAGGAAGAGCCGACTGTTGCTGAAAATATTGGATCTGGTCGTCTCATACGATATACATGCCTTACAATGGGTAAATTCTTAAGACTCTAAACCACGGGGACAGTTATAAGCTGCTAATAACAGTAACAAATCATTTTTCCATACAAAAATTCAAATCTATACATCAGGTAATAATCATATATGTAATTTCAGCTATTTGTTGACATCTAATGCATGTGATTAGCGTATATTTTCACACAATTTTATAACAAAACTCGTAAACTGTGAGACACTCTGTAAGGCTCTCTCACATTTAATCACACCAATTAATTTGAAACAGTATGCAAATTATAATTACAGCACTAAAATGTTCCTATAACACAACGATGCATAACGTAACGTCTTCCAGATAATTAAATAGGTATTAAATTATTAGAGTTATCAGCTAATCCACACAGAAGAAATAGTGTCATCTTTAAAGCTATATGAACTGAGAATTATTCAGCGGTATCATTATCGTGTGTGAACGTTTGCAAATGTTGTACTGTCAAATCGAATTGTAATCCACAAATGAGTATTTCCCATATCTCGCTTCCTCTTACTGTAAACCAACAATTTACTTAAAACGGAAAACTGACATTTCTTTTTCACACATTGTCAGTAAATAGGCCCTTTAGTTTTATAGACGCTTTGACATCAGCGAAAATATTTCAAAATCCACGAATTCCTTTTTATTAATTGAAAGCAGCAAACCTCAAAAGAAGTACAGGAGCATTTGATTACAAAAACTTATTTGCAAATAATTTCGGATATAGTAACATACTGAAGAATTCTGTAAATTTATTTACTATCGCATTTTAAAACTAATTCCATTTAAAGGAATAACCACATTGTAAAAATTAAGTAAGTTGATACGTTAATTGCAATGAGTTGCTTTGTGCTTTATTGTTCCAGAATTACGCGGATTTTAATGATTTTTTTTAGTATAGATAATTACGTTTGTTCCTGGCCGAAGCCGGCTAAAACATCAGAAAACTCTTAATAGAAATTTCTGTGTCTATATGTTTAAATATCATTTTCATGCCAATGCATATATTTTCAAATATTTTTGATGCCAAAAAAATGTGACTTGCTGTGCTATAGGGAACGTGGTTGCTGCGCGTGCTTATATGAGTAGAATAAGCACAAATAAAAACAAATTCTTTGATATGATAAACTCCTAATATAGCAACGTAAATTTGTGTAATAAGGGAAAATTAAAATACAGTCAGAAAGGAGCGGTAGATTTATGGGTTAAAAATATTGACTTTAGTTGATTTGCATTATGCTTAATCTCCGATAGCGTCTATGATTGTGCGTATTTCTTTGTACATACCTACAATAATTTTACATGGTATTTTCTGCGTATTATTTACGCCGTGCCACGTTTAAATACAAGCGTATATACATATGTAAAAATAGTCGTTTTTATTAAATTACATACATATACATATGTATATGCATATATTGCATCTTCATGTTTTTAGTGTATTAAATGTAGATGCAGATAATGAAGGGAAAGTTTACATAAACCTGTTCATAGTCGACAACTAACAATGCTTATTCGTTGAAACGGTATTCCTTGAATACCGGAATGTTTAGTTTTACAAAACAATTTATACTTAACTGAATAAACCGTTTCCGCCTTGCCAAACAAAACTGTCTCCACATAATAACTAATAAAAAAAGAAAAAAATATCAGTTTTATAATTTTTTTGTTGTGTTGAACTCTTAATTTAAACATTTATTTTTTACATTGTGCTTATACAGTCTATAGTGCTATTATCATTTGCAGATAATAATTAAAGTATATAAAAATGGCTCGCGGACATCAAAAGGCACAATCTCAGGCGAAGGCCCAAGAAAAACAAGCCAAGTTAAAAAAACAACAAGGACATAGTGCCAATGACCAAAAGAAGGCTGCACAAAAAGCGCTTGTGCATGTTTGCGCAGTTTGCAAGGTAAATTGAATTGTTATCATCATGAAAAATAAATATTGTATATATTATTAAATGCGTTCAATTTTGCAGTCTCAAATGCCTGACCCAAAAACGTACAAACAACACTTTGAGAACAAGCATCCTAAAAATGATATGCCACCAGAGTTAAAAGATGTGTAAAATAGGAGATTTATTGTATTTATCGGCGTAGCAGTTGATCTAATTGACATTTCTGAAATAATAAATAAATGTTAAAATAATAAGCGGCTTAACGATTATATTTACACCATTGACGATTCGTTCATGCGCTGATAAATCTTTTTTATATGTTCTTACACAACAAATATTTTCTTTTTATCTTGTACAATTATTGAAATGTGACCAAAATGCGCTCGGAGGTAAAAAAAAAAATTATGTGCAAATATGTAATAGGCCAAATACCTGCCCACCCACGCAAAGGGTCTCGTTACTGTTGTGTTGCATTGCTTCTGGTAACTAATATAAAATTTATAGTTGTTAACATTAAATAAGCAGTTTCATTAAATTTTTTTATTTTACAATTATACATAAATTTAAATAAAATACTACTCGATTTTTTGGCATTGCATGATGATATTTATAAGTTAATATATATGTATGTGTAAGAATATTCGTAATGAATTTTTATAAATGTGTAATTACAAAAAAAAAAAGAGAACAAAACCTATAATCCGATTTGTTTAATGGGTAATAAAATCGCAAAAAAAATGTATTTAGTATTGAATCACACAAACACATACATGCATACATACATAAATATATATACACAATTTTGTACTATGTAAGTTGCATATCAATGATATGGCAATTACTCCCCACATTGGCACATACGTATTTCCCTCCTGTGTAAATTTGCCTATGTATTTTAACGTAGAAAAATTATGTTGTAATTAATATATGAGGAAATTTAATAAACATTATTTAAATTAACAATTTGAGGAAGCATCATATTGTATATTATTCTCTGCTTTCGTTCCTCTATAAATGCTGTAGAGTTTTTAAAGCAGCTCTCTTCAAAAATAGCAAAAAAAAACTACATTATAAAAATTCACTAACCTAGCGGTCCATGCTAATCACGTATATCTCTGTCTACAAATTATACTTTTATAGCACACCAACTGAACTACGTAAGACATCAGCTTTGCTTCCTTTTCAACATTCTGCTATATTGTCACTAAATTCCAATACAGCACTGCCGTCAACGGTAGAATTTTGAAATCCAAGTTGGATCTGTTCAAGATATTTTAATAATCACCACTCTTTGAAGTCCTGGTCCGACCAACATTTACCCGCGGTAAGGGATTTCAAATGTTGTGGGAGTGGTAGTCCTTGTCCGAATAAAAAATCCGGGTCGTTCAGGAACTATTGGATTTTAGTCGTCTCTACCGACAGGCATGCCTTATCGCGGGTATATTCTTGAGCTCCTAACCCCAATACTCTCAAGACAGCGTAAGAAATAAAGTAATTGAAGAAGCTATAGAATAGTAATGATTCAAAAACAAAAACAAGTACATGTACACAGTTTTATTTTTTGGCATACTTTCAACTAGATGAGTTGGTTAGAGGGGGCATGTGAAGAGGTGGTTAGTATCGTGCAGAGACTCTCCACATGCAGGGCATACGTTGGGTATGTTGGTCGAGTCTGGATAAGTAGGAGTTTAACCTGCTACAATATCCAGACCTAAGTTGTGTCAGGGTCACGCAGGTCTCTCGAGGCAGCTCGAAACTGCCTCCACCTTCACCTAGGCACATCAGAAAGGGAGTACTAGACTTAAAGCACACAATCCAGCAACATGTACAACAGCCGCTGGACAGGACGGCGTACCGACAAGCACTGAACGCCATTCACCAGGAGTCAGTCAACACCTTCAAGGACTCCCTTCCAGTGATTGGCGTACTCGAAGAAAAACCATCACTTATAGCAGACAACGAGCTCGAGCTGCCTCGAGAGACCCGCGTGACNGAGCCGCTACAACAACAACTCAGCTTTGATCAACAAGCGGGTATTTGTGTTTCATCAGGTCAACGCCAGACTATAAAAATCGATAGTTACTCGCCAGAGGTGAGAATTTCTTATGTATCCTCCTTATAGTCCGGAACTCGCAAGAAGAAATTACTGTCTGTTCATGCCTACGGCCAACTCATTCGGTTAATGAAGAATTGGTCTCAAGAGAAGCCTGAAAAAAACGATTTTTCCAATAGGGACTAGGGTTTCTATCGGATGGTCATAATAAAGGTACCTTCAAAATGACAAAGGGCATATTTAAAGCTTTCAATTTGATGCAAAAATAATAGATAACTTTTTATTAGGCCAATATATGTTTTGATTTCATTTTTACTGTTATTATTATGGGACTAACTAAAAAATATTACACGGCATAAACTCGCACAGATCTAATGGCCATAGTCGCTTGAGGGCCCCATTGTTTGCTGCATATTCTGCTTCTTTTCCCTTCCTTGCATGAGACTTTCGGAGTACCAGTTGCACAGCAGTCAGTAAAGCTATAATGAAATAGCGTAAATGCGTCATTATAACCGTTTCTCCATGGTTTTGATTTTGTATCAGGAAACTCTAAATGTCCACCTGCACCAACACCCAGTACTATATGAAACTATAAATTGAAAAGAAATAAATAATAATCTATATCTTTAAATTTTATTTCAATTTTTGGATCAGATAACTTACAGGCTCATCATATTCACCGTTATTTGATATACAACCAAATTTCACATTATCAAAATATAAGCGTATTTCCTGAGAGGTCCATACTAGTGTGTAATTGTGATAGCCATTTGGTTTCTCAACATCTCCACGTATGGTCATATAGCTCATGCGATCAAACATATGTTTTGATGGCTTAGACGGATTCGGCCGGCCATTAATTACAACTGGCCCGCCCCTTATACGGAGATTTAGCAAATCGTTAGATGTAGCATGAGATATGCGGAGTTGTTTCCGTTTGGTGCAATTTTCTTTATCTGGTACGAGCATTATGTCTGTGGAATGAGAAAAATACACATACATATTTACATTTGAATGTATACATATGTAGGAATTCAACTTACATGGAAATAACCAATCTCCTTCGGGCAGTTTTGCATCAATTTCAATCCGACCATACTGAAAACTAAATTTGTCTTTGGTATTTATTCTCGCCGATGAAACAGGTGGAGGATACATATAAGTTCTAGTTCTTTCCTTCATATATTCGCATACATAGTTATTGTTCTCGTAGCATGCTGGTGGAGTACATCTGTAAAAAAAAAAAATACTGATAATAAAAAAGAAAAAAAAATAATTCATTTATGGTTTGTTTTCGAATCTAATTCAAACATCGAGTAAGAGTCGTGAAATCAGATATAGTCGAAGTAAGCGCTTCTTATTATTTTTATATAAGATTGATAAGATAACGAGAGTTGGAAAGGGAAGCGAAAAGCATTTGTTGGTAAAAAGAAAGAGGAGGAAATGCGTACGTATGACAAAATTTAGAAGCTAACCAAGAAGTAGTAGTATTGCTAGCAATGAGAAGGCAAGGTTTAAAGAGCGAAATCTCTTAACCCGGCTGAATTACAGTCGTGGCGAAAACGCGGAAATGATGAACTCGATTTTCCAAACGATGGCGGTGAAAAGACGGTCCATCATCTGACTATTATGAAGTTCGAAAAGACCCACCTGAAGTAGAAAAAAAGTGACGGAAGCCCGACAGAAACAAACAGTCAGCGCACCCGGTACCAGACTTCTACGCCGCTGTTGACAGTCATAAATTTGAAGTCTTTGTTTAAAAGGTTTTTCTCTCGCTCTCTTTGGGAGTACGCTGTTGTCGAATGTACAATGGAGTAAAAAATAATATATATTTATTAGTTCAATGATTTTACCTGTCTATAGTAAAAGTACTTTGGCTGTTATATTTAGATATGGAGGGTGTTATTAATAAAGTCTGTTGGCTCACGCTCAAATTAGTATTATTTTTGGAGTACAAAACAAAATCTTCCGATCTATCACCAATAGCATTGGAAGATATATATTCGTCCTTATTCCAATTCGGCAATTTTCCATTTATAAATTCTTCATTAAAAATCTGATCATTACTTTTATATAATTTATCAGATAAACGATTCTCTATAAAAACTTTTGTTTCGCTTGCTTTCGCAGTATTATCCACTGACTCCGGTTGAGCGGCACATGTATCGATAGGTTCGTCACCCTCTTTGATAGTTTGATAGATGGCAGCAAAATTTTCCGAGATCACGACAAGATCCGTTCGTGAAAATAGACCCGTTGTATGCATTGCCATAACATTTATTTTCACTTTACTATTTCTCTCTAGTTTATATGTGAGTTGTTCGCTCATCCAAAAGTTGCCTCTTTGTTCGGTTATCAAATCCAACAACACCGGACACTGCTGATCGATTTCGATGTTAAATACGACCATTGTAACACCAGGTTCATCTATTAAATATATGTAAGTAGAATATTAGACAAATGCTTTGAGAGTGAGAAATTGTTTGGTGATTAGATTCTTTTAATTAATAAATGATGGCTTGTGGGAGCTAAACGTCTCCTAAATTTCTTAATGTTAAAAATTTAAAGAAATATTTAATTTTTTTAAGTTTTATTTAAATAAATATAAGAACGGTATTTTTGTACATTCATTTTATTTTCAAATTGCGTAGACACGCACATAATCTACTTCTAGTGCTGGACTAATCCAAGTTGATTTCCAATTTACGCGATCACGCCAAAAATCAAGTGTCGCTTTGGGTGAAGTATTTTCCCAGGGTTTCTGCACGCAGTCGTCTGGAAAATCACCATGTCCACCAGCAGCAACGCCAAGGGTTAAGAAAAACTAGAAACAGAAACGTTAAAAAAAATAAAAAAAATAAAATAAAATATTGTAAAATAAAATAAAATAAAATAAAATAAAATAAAATAAAATAAAATAAAATAAAATAAAATAAAATAAAATAAAATAAAATAAAATAAATAAAATAAAATAAAATAAAATAAAGTAAAATAAAATAAAATAAAATAAAAAAAAAATAAAATAAAATAAAACCAAATAAAATAGATAATATAAATTACTCTACATTTTAAATTAATGATAAAAACACAGAAAAATTTAACTATAATAAAATATTCTAAAGTGAAATAAAGAAAGTGTTCAAATAAACTAGAGAAAAGTAATAATAATAAAAAACAAAATGAAATAAAATAAAATTAAAGAATCATATGATAAATTCACTAAGTAAGTAAGAAAACGATTTCTATACAGATACAAATTCTATAGTTAATTCTTAACTTAAACTTATTCTACGGTTTTTAAGGCATCTCATTTAATATTAAATAAATAAAAAAAAATATAAATAAAAAAAATAGAAATATAATACCAACCTCTTGGTCCAGCGGCGCTATATAATTTCCATTTGACCAGGCGTAATTATTTCCCATTTCATTTTCGGCAAAGCCACCATCTATTGTACCATATACTTGCCCATCTACGGCCAACGTTAAGTGTCTGTCATCCCATGTGAGTGAATAAATATGAAAAGTTTCGCCAAAATGCGCATTACGGCTAGTATTTACCATAAATGCGTTACGATATTCTGTTTCCGGACGAAGTACAGTGCCTCCATTAAGCACTCGTCCACCCATTTCAACACCTCCACGTGTTACCAAATTCAAATTGCCGCGCAGAAATGCTATACGCATCTGACCGGAAGCATAGGGCTGCTGACCATACAAGTTGACTAGAGGCTCCAAAAGAAGAACTTAAGAAAATAGAGACATCTTATATTTTTAGGTACGTTTCGAGTTTATTTAAGAGAATACTTACGTGGAAAGAGCCAATCACCTTGTGGCAATTTGGCACGCACCTCTACGCGTCCATATTTGAAGCTAAAGGCATGTTTGGTATTTATACGAGCGGTAAGTACGGGCGGTAGCACAACTCGACCGAAGGGCTGCCGCCTACATTCGATTTCAGGATTCTGCGAAGCTGTACATCTAAAGAAGAAAGATGGAGAGCGGATGTTTTAGTAACTCATACAACATTTAGTTATGCATAGTATCGTTTATACTCACCTTACACCTAAATTTAAACTTCCTCTACGTATATCGGCATTTGGACTATCATTACCCCAAATACGTGGTTCGATTTTCAAGTAGCCATTCGAAATTTCAGCATTCGTGTCATATAGAACAAATTCAGCATCGGCGATATCAAGCGGCAAACGCACCTCATAACGCCAACGAGTAGCATTCAATTCGTTGCCATCAAAATTTTCTTCGAATACAAGTTCGCCTTTACAGAGATTGCGATTACGAATAAAAGTTAAAGCAGGCAGACACTTATCATCTCGTTGATCTATAGGTGGTGGATTTTCGGTACTGATTGATGGTTCACTTGTACTCGTAGGCTTATCAACTGGGTTATCCTGCGGAATATCAGCGCTGACACCTAGCGAGCTCTGATTTACCGCAAGCGGCGTAGACATAGCACGAAAGCGTTTATTATTGTATTGTACATCGGTCCATACATAAATGGTATCATCATCACGTAGTCGACGTTGATTCTCAAATACCCAACGACCATCGATTGCGGCGCTTACTCGTCCGGAAAATTCACCTTGCTCAAAAGCTTTGAACGGCCGATTACGATTGACATTGAAGGCCACATTTTTTATGCCTGCCTGATCTGCATGAATAACAGTGTTTGAGAATTTAAAGATGCGACTGGGCATCATAATGTCTTACGTACTACGGAATGTTCATAATATTAGTCCTTTTCCAAAGAAGCGTTCTAATGTTTTTCATACAAATGAACCAACAATAAAAAGCCAAATTCTAATTGAGTAAGCAGTAAGATGGATTATGAATATGTATAAGATGTGTCACCATAGCTGCGAGTGCAACTAAAAATTCTACAAAAGATCAATGTTGCAAACCATAGAAGTCTAGTTGGTAGATGAAAGAGTTGCTCGTACTCGGGCACGAAAGACATTCTCGTTAGAGTTGTTAAGGGTCATAATTATCGTACCCAAAAGTCGCGTGGATATAGCTTAGAATAAACTTTAGACTCCTCCATTTGTTGGAAAAACTTTAAAACCCATACCACCCACAAGGCACATGCAAAGATGGAAAGGCGTTTGAGCTGACTCGCGCTGGCGCCGCAGGCGATGTTGTCACCATTCACTGCCTTACACCTTTCAACCTTTGCAAAATCAGTCTAAAGCAGTAGACCATAGAGGAATACTTAAGGTTCAGAAGCACTTCCACCGTAGGACATGCCACCAAATAGACAACATTGTAACTACCTTTAAGCAGACGATAACTAAGTATTCTTGTGCAATAGATGGATTGTGGCCCTGAGATATCAACTCCACAAGCTAGGTAAAGCTAGGAAGCGACTGAATGCAGAGGCGTTCCCAGAAGATAACGAAACGCTGGAATACTACCTTTGTGAGCTTGAGGTCTTCAGCTTTCACGTTGTCCCCAGATGGATGGTAGAAATCAAATAAGTTTATTAAATAAAGTCAAAAGCGAAACCACAATGAGCCTACTATATGGCTTAGGTCCGGCCGCTTGTGTTCAGATACTCAACCTCCCGTTTCAAAGAACCCACTAACGGCCGCCCAGCTGGTTGATGGGCTCGTAGAAATAAGGGCTGATATTACCTCCATCCAAGAAGTGTAATAGGCTGGACAAGAACGGAAGCGAGTATGTTCTTGTGACATTTACTACAGCGGCTATATAAAGGACCACAAATTCGGTGTCCGAGCACTGGCACACACCCTGTCTTGCCACAATCAGCATCAAAACGAAACCCCCCAAGGAAGGAGAAGTATGATGTGTCTAAAAATATCTCTTATGAGCGCATGGAACGTACTCATGACCCTCACCACAATATGAAAATCGTGCTTGGTGATTTTAATGCCAGGTTTGCCCTACCTATGTATCATTGGTACAACTGTAGAAAGAAAAAAGTGGATTGAGGTTGATCGACTTCGTCAGGGCCTTCAATATGGTTGTCTGTAGTAATGGTTTCCAGCGTAGGAAAATACATTAATCTTCTTGGCTGTCCCCTGATCGAGAAACACAAAACCAGATCAAGCACACAGAGCACTTTTCCAATGTTGTTGTTTTTGTAACCGCAAAAATATTCCCTAAATTGATTTTCGTGGAATATTGCTGATTATTTAAATAAAAAATTAAATTAAATTTTCTAATTGCGGTCGCCCATCGGCAGATAATGTCAACCCCTCCGAGTGTATCTTGGACATGAAATAAAGCTTCTCATAAAAACCGTCAGCCATTCGGAGCCCGCTTAGTATAAAGTGCAGATCCCTCCGTTTGTTAGAAAAACATCAAGATGTTGTAAGCGAGGGAAGGTAAGCCTGTAGCTTGTGAAAGTTCAAAATACATTACACATATATTTTTTTTTGAACACACCTCGTATGCGTCATCTCCGAGATAGGGAAATCCAAAATTTTTTTAATAGATAGAGTACTTCCTCTGCCACTCGTTTTATAAAAAAAAATAATATCATAATATTTATTTAATATTTTTTTATGTTGTTGTTGTTTTTATATATGCTTCCACGAAGTGTATTGCAGCAAGCTGCTTAATCGAATTCACTCATCTTATCATTTTTCGTTAATTTAGGTATGTTTACTTGTATTTATTATTTACTAAGAAATTCGCGAACGTATATATGTATATATGTACAGACACATGCTACTTTAGTATCCTTTTTACGTAATTCGATGAACAAATAATAGCCATAATTATGAAGAAAAAAATTATGCAGAATTTTTCTTTTAAAAAATAGAAAAAAACAATTTTTTAAATATATGTAGATTATATACATATGTACTTACATACTAGATGCAACGATGTTAAAGGTTATCACTTAAGCATTAATTCGCAAAAATACACAAAGTGAGCTCTGGATGCATAACTAAAGCTCAAATTACATTGAAAACATACTTGCATTTGGAGTGAAAAATTACAAAAAAAAAATTCATAAAATTATGCAAAAAACATGTAGTGCAGCGCATTAGTTGATATTTATTTAATTGTTTATCTTTTAGATGTATCTACATATATACAAACATTTCGAACACATACTTTTAGCGGTATTGTTAGCCACAAGCCATCTCACTTTAAGGTTTTTCCCCAATCAAACAATAATGTTGAATTCACTACCACCACTACAACAATTGTGCACATACATTCATGTGAAAAATTCATTATCACTTACCCGGTATTGAAACTCGAAATCCATCATTTAACAATTCTAGTGTAACTCTTGGTATTTGGTAGGCCATTGCACCGTAGCAGCAGCAGCAGCAGCAGAGGCAAATGAAGAGTACATTTAATAAAGATAAGTCACGCATCCTTATTGAATGTTTGTTGAGAAAAAACCAAAAAACAAAAAAAAAAAAAATACGAAAATAAAAAAATACAATTTTCGAAATAAACACTGGCAGTAGAACTATTTGCGCGTTGTACCTATTCAAGCTAACGATCTGATTGAACTGTTTGCAAAATTTGTATTAACTTATCAAACGCTGGCTGTAGAGACAAGCTTAACTGAAGCAGAGAGCGTAGTGACTGAGATAAGAACAGGTTCTGAGTAGACAGGTGTGTCAAGATTGAAGAAACTTTTCGTTGTAGAATTTGTTAGATTTAGATTTCTGAGAACTAAAATGATCAAATAAAAATATTGGATGAGTGCATAAGTTCGTGCCCGATTTCAAGTGCAAACTAAAATTGAAATTTTTTGAAGAAAGCGCTTTTATTAATCAATTATGTATTCGTCATTATGTTTGGCAATCCACTTCCAACGTTCAACCAATTTACGGATGCCTGAGTCATAGAAACTGCGCTGTTTCTCGTTGAAAAAGGTGTCAAGGTGGTTTTTGACGTCTTCCACATTTTTAAATTTTTTTCGATTCAAATTGTTCTGCAGCGATCGAAACAAATGATAATCAGAAGGTGCAATGTCGAGTGAATATGGGAGATGCGGCATGATTTCCCAATTCATCTCCTTCAGTTTGGCCAGGGTCGGTTTTGCAATATGTGGCCTGGCGTTGTCATGATGGAAAAGAACTCCTTTGCGATTGGCCAAAATCGGACGTTTTTCATCAATTGCTTTCTTCCATTCGACCAATTGCTGACAATACTTGTTGGCAGTGATCGTTTCTCCAGCTGGCAAGTGCTCAAAATAGATCACGCCTCGGATATCCAACCAAATGCACAGCAGTACCTTCATCGGATGCAATACACCTTTCGACATCGGTTCCGCCCCTTCGTGTGCCTATTTCCATGTTCTTTTGCATTGAACATTGTTGTACAGGATCCATTTTTCATCACCAGTCACGAGCCGATCCAAAAAAGGTTCGTTTTTGATCCGTCGAAGCAAAGAAATTGCTGTTGACATACGGTCTACTAAAAAAAGTATGCTGTATGACATTTATAAGCATGTTGATTGGTCGAGTAGGATCTGCCTGTTTCTTCTTCACAAGAATGGAGTTAGGGACATAGCAGAAGAAAGGACATCTCAACCGACTGATCGCAGCAATCTCTCGGCAGTTTCCCACAGCTTTTTGCCAATGCTTTTTGCGTTATTATCTCTCGAATATTTGTAAGTTTCAATGTTTACATTTTCTCTATTTCTCTCTCTCTCTCTCTCTCTCTTTTTCTCTCTCTGCTACAAACAACCACTAGCTGAGAAAATAATAGGGTAGCGGGGAATGCATTTTTTTTGTTGATTTAACGGGTGATCCAAGTAAAGGAACTTTTTAACTTTTTTCAATCGCGTTTTGTGCTCAACTTGTGGTCAACACATAATCGGCCTACTGAGTGTACTTTTCGCAACACCATCACCCAGCTTGAGACTCAGTATACCTTACTGGGTAAAAATTCAACCGAATAGACCACGTTAAGCAGGCCGGGAAGAAAATATAGCGGCCGTAGCTGAGAGTGTACACGAAGACGAAGTGGAGATTCAATTCGACGCAACTCGAACTGACATATGGAGCGACTTGACGCATTTTACAACGATATCTTAAATTAAAAACGTATAAAATAGAGCTTTTGCAAGAACTGTAGTCGCTCGGCAAGATCGCTTCGCTCTATGGGTTTCAAGAGCCAAATTTTGTACAGCTGTGAACTTCATTTATGACTTAATAGGTATGTAAACAAGCGAAATTGTCGCATTTATGACGAAGAGCAAACTGAAGAGCTTCAAGAGCTGCCATTTCATTCAGTGGGCTGGGGTGAAATTATCGAGCCCTGTTTCTTTAAAAATGATGCCGGCGCAAATGTAACCTTCAATGGTGAACGTTATCTCGCCATGATAACCCAGACGGCGCAACTTCCCACAGCTCGCATAAATCTATGGGTTTATCGAGTGAACACTACAGTGAGCAGATAATTTTACGTTTTGGGTCTGTCGGTTGGCCATCAAAATCATGTGATATCATACCGTTAGACTATTTCCTGTGAGGATATATAAACTCTAAAGTCTTGGAGCAAAACATCACGGGTTTCACTCGTCAGTTACCAGTCGAAATGCTCAAAAGAATTTTCAAAGTCACGAATGGACTATCTGAGAAGTAGCCGCGGTCAACATTTGAAAGCGATAATCTTCAAAAACAAAAACAAAAAAAATATTAAAGACTGTTCCTTCCAATGATAAGAAATATGCTTCATTAAATTTGAATTTTCTGCATTTTTTTCTTTAAAAAAGTAGGGTGCCACTAAAGGGATCACCCTTTATTAAGTACTTGCTTATTGCTAACAACCATAAATACTGTTGTGTATATTATTATAATTGAATCGATTATGGTTGGCCGGAGTTACGTGCACATCTCTATGACTACTTCCTGTTTATCGAAATAACAGTGCCCCAACGTCTGTGATTGTGTACACGTACATATACCGTTTTTTTGCATTTGCTTCATTTTCAAAACAAATCGAGCCACTCAAACAACTTTCGAAATTTTTCTTGAGAATTTGGAAAATTATTATATTTTTTAATATTTTCAACTTGAAAATAATTTTAAATAAAGCCACACATACATACATATTAGAAGTAAATAAACTATATTTCTCGATTACCAACAAACATGCCCTGCTTTACGGCATCGAATTTACGTCTGGTCCGAGATCACATCGATAATGCAGGAAAGAGGCGCGCCAAAACGTCGACAACACAACGTTCACAAGCCAGCAACACAAATATACCCACAGGCCGAACTGCAGAGCTCAATGTATCGTTAAGAGCAGCTATTGCAGCACAAAACCGAACAAAGGAGGCTAAAGAATGTACCGAATTTTTGAAGGTAATGGGTTATACGCCACAAACGTTGAACAAACGTGCGCCTGGATCGAAGTCCGCATTGGGTAAGAAGCAAACAATGCTGACGCAAAAAGAGTTGGAACGTCTCAAGAGTGCATCGAAGGTGGTAACACTCGAGGATCGACTGGAGGTGTTGAAGCGTCAAGAGGAGGAAAGAAATCGCATGGAACGTGAAACTGATGAGGTGCGTATGCGTTTCAAAAAGATCGATGATGCTAGACAGAAGGCTATAGAGGAGAATGCTGTTAAAGAGGATCTCTTTGGTGCCGGTGATAAGGTGAAGGTTTTAGAGCGTGCATTTCTCGCCAAACACGAGCAGGAAGAGGAAGTGCGACGCGTTAATCGTATCATATTGAATGCTAAATGTCAGGCCGTACGTGATGCACAAATACAGGAGAAGGAGGACTTTGAACGTGAGCTGCGTAACGAGGAGGTCCGCATGGATAGGATGGTATTAGAACGTGCTACCGATGCGCTTAAAAAGGAGGATGCCGATGAGGAGAAGAAAAAGGAAGTAAAGTTAAAATATGCTTGTGAAATTCGTAATCAATTGAATGAACGCGAGACATTACGTTTCCTAGAAGCGGAACGTATGGAACAGGAAGCGAAACGTATACGTAAGGCCAATGAGTTAATACGTAAAGAGGATGAACATCAAGCACAATTACAACGAGAACGTAAATTGAAATTCCGCGAAGAACTGAATCGCATTGCTGAGATGGCAGCCCTCTTCAAGAAGATGCTTTGCGAACAGGAACGTGAAGCTGATATGCGTGCAGCAGCGTATATGCGTGAAAAACAAATGAAGGAGCGCGAATTGGCTATGGAAAAGAAATTGGCACAAGAGGCGTCGGAAAGCAAACGTCAGCGTATATTTATATTAGCACAAAAAGTGTTGGAAGCCAAGTCGGCCAGTGAAGAGTTGAGCTATATGCGTGAACAGGAGCGTATCGAACGTGAATATCGTCGCAAGGAGAAGGAAGCGGCATTGCGTAAGCGACAAATTGAAAAAGAATTGGCTGATGCGCGCGAAAGTCAATTACGTCAGACGAAACAACGACAAGCCTTGCAAATTGCACGCGCCGAACAGGACTTTGATAATCTTATGGCTCAGGTTAAGGTGGATGAGGAGAAGCAAAAACAACAGGAGGTTCAACGTGAACGACAAAACGAGTGCTATCGTCAGGCAATCATAAAACAAATGAATGATAAAGAGTTAGAACGTCGCCGATTGCTCGAAATGGATCGCGTACAGGCATTGGATTGGCGTGAAGGTGAGCGTCAGCGTGATCGTAATATACGCGCCGTAATTGATGCTAAATTGGCTGCTATGCGCGAGGCTTGTCTTCCGGAGAAGTACATAAAAGAAGTTGAAATGCAATTAACTAAGATTAAAGGGCAAAAAGCTTTCCTCACCAAAAACAAATAACTGCACAGAATTATTTAATTTTATTTGTATATTGTAGTGACGCCCCTGGGAGATGAATGACGGTAAAAATTATAATCATAAACCATTTAATGCTCTCTTGAATTCATATATTCTAAAATTTAATATAAACTATTACTATACAACAACAACCCTTCACTAGTCTTTTCTTAAAAATATCGGCATTGTGCCCTGTATCATTCTCAGCTTATTGGAAAGACTAGAAAACCTCGCCTATAAGCACAAATTTGTACATTGTCAACCAAACGCGGAGCTCAAGAAACGAGCTGTTTTGACGGGTTCTGATCAGGATGAAAGAGATTTAGGTTTTAGTGCGGGGACTTATTGCCCGCAGGACGCATGCATGTTGGTTTTGTCAGAATTGTGTCTAGATAAGTAGGCATTGAGTTTTGGGGAATGATGCAGAAGTCACAGTCCTTGGCCGACTGTCGCGGGGACTATTGGATTTTAGTCACCTCTTACAACAGGCATGCCTTACCGCGGGTAAATTCTTGAACCCCTTACCCATAGGGGGTTGGTTGGGTGATGTGGCTACCGATCATCAGCTCACATAGGCATAGGCGGGCCCATTGTCGAAACGATGTGTGGAGTTTGTAAAACTGAGCAGTCGCCGCATCTTGGAACAGCTATCTCGCATAGTTAACATACTTGCATTTTCAGTCAAAGTGCATTAAGGTTTCAGGTTGTTCTACAAATTCTGCAGAAATCATAAGATGGTACGCACAACTTCTCTGCGTGCCTTCTTCCGTTCCATTCTGGTCATATTTTTTTGCCGACTTTGCATGCATTTTTATTTCGGTTTGGCAGTGAATCTTCGTGTGCCATAAATGGCGGCTGGATTCGGTTGAGTACATTTTGATGAAGCTTAGTGTATGTTGCATGCACGCCAGTTGGACGCTCTTCGACCCTAGACGCATTGAACTCCTTGAATTTGAATGTCATTATAGTTAAAGAAACTCAATTAAAGCGGGGTCTACATACTTTTTCATATCAGTTATGAGAAAATCATACACTATTGACTACCTTTAATAGTTCCGGACCTTCTAGCTTCGATATATATTAACACTAAATGCGAAGTTCTTCTATTTTTCAAACCGAACTCACATCTATTGTATATCAAGCCTTGAAAAGTGGTAAAGTTGGATATGAGCAGAAAGGGATAGTCTTTAAATAGAAGGCTTTACCATAATAGCATCACCATACTATGGGTATGCTTTTTTGGTTTAAAAAATTATGTGTATGTATGGAAATTTCAAACTCATTCATTTCAATGACGGCAGTTGTATTTCTCATATTTTATTTAATAATTTGAATAACTTAGGAGAATGTATGTATACAAAGCATTTATTGAAAAAACATGTAGTTTATTATTATGTATATGGAATCCTTTAGCACAGATTGAATATTGTTGTTACACATGTATACATGCGTTTATAACTACTAAATAATATACACAAATAAATAATATATATTGCATATACAAATGCAAACTAAATTTTTTTTGTTCTTAAAATGGATTTGAAATGAAGTGTTTAATGCTACACCACTTTAACAATTGAACCATTGTGTGTCTAGAATGACTTTCCATTATTTTTCTTCGATCCATTATTTCGACTGCTTTGATTAGTCTTCTTTCGACGTTTTTCCGATGACCAATCAATATCATCCTCATCATCTGTGCCAACAGTTGTTTGTAGATACGATGAAGATGATGATGAACTTGCGCTAGTGCCTTCCTTTGTTGCTAAACGCCGGCTAGCAATACGCGATGAATTGCGACCCATACCCATGCACTTTGCCAGATGCGGTGCAAAGCGAGAAGCAGACACTGGTCTATCACAGTTGGGGCAAGTACAATCCATTAGTTTTTTCATTGATGAAATGCCAAAAATTTCATAGTTTGGCATGTCTACTATGCGATAAGATGCGTCCGTACCCTCTTCAGGTACACCGTCTAATGCTTCTAAATTACCAGTCTTATGTAAATGGTGTATTTCCAGAATTACACCAACGACGGCGTCGTCTAATAATGACTGATATAAATAATGTGCAGCCTCATCCAGGCTGGTGGGATCTTTGATAATGTCATGATAAGCCTTTTGTATTGAGGCAACAGTCATTTTATTATTATTGGCAGATGATTTCCCCGAGACAATGAGATTTGCATTCTTTTCACTTTTCACGTCAATATTGGCACCGGCTAGTGAGGTATCGGAGGAAGATGCCATAACGCCTTACACTATGCAGCAATATGATGAATCCTTAATTATTTTCAGTTGACAATGTCGGCTTTTTATTTCTTCCTCAACTAATCAAAACAAAGAATACTAATAAAATCACCTGTGTGACGGAGCTGAAAAAACGCTGTTATCGATATATGGGTTTTATCGAAATTTTACAACAAGGGCAGAGTAGTAATTGAATTCGCCACTTATCGATTGATTATTTTCAAATTTCCCTGGATCTTTAAATAAAAGTTACCAGCATTTGCTGTTCATCTATTTTTTATCGTTATTCTTAATAAATAAACAATCTTCCCTTAAGGCCAATGTTGTTACTACCGCGGCGGTTCTAAGACGAATTCAAAGAAGATGAAGTTGCCTCATTACATGATTGCTTGTTCTTTCTTTTATTTAATCAAATTACACAAACTAAATGCATGAGCAATAAGTTCTCACAATCCGAACATTCGATTACACAAAATGTGAAATGTCAATTTCCTTCCTAACTAGTTCTCGTTTGCGATTAGATAGCATTTGCGCCACAACAAGTGGTTAAATTATTTATTTTTCAGTAGAAAATGCAGTATTTTAAATAGATGAATTTTTATCTCATCAGCTATTGTGAATGGTATTTTAGCATTCATTAGAAGAAGAAGAAAGCAATTATTCAGGTATTCATATTTTTATCAAAACATAAACAACCGTAAATTAATTCGATTTCCCAGGATTAAACGTGTGATCCGACATATTAAAATTATTTTATGGATTAATAAATTAAAGCAGATATGCTTCTTGACGATAAGGACAAAAAGTACAAATTAATTGTCGAAAAGATTTACCAACGTTGCCAAGAACTGCAAACAGAAAATGAGCGTTGTGTGCTACGGTAAAATATTAAAAAGTATTTTTTTCTTAAAGTTTTCTTTCTAATATTTTTTCCTTAGCATAAACACAGTAAAAAAGCTATTGAGAAGACGTACTCGTGATGTGGAATTATTGAAGCGGCGGCTTGACAAGCACAATGACATTTGGCGACAACTTCCGATGGTGGCACCTCATCCAAAACGTAAAATAGAGCAGAAACGTGGTCCTAAACCAAAACCGAAGAACATTACTGAGGAACCAACAGATGGTAAAGTTAAGAAGGTGCGCAAGCAACGCACGAAAAAGAATCCTATACCGCAAGTTCAAAGTACCGTTGAAGGTAGTATGCAGCGTTTACCACAGTTTGTGCAGCATCAAGAGCAACAACTACTACTTCAACAACAATTTGTACAATATAAACCAGATATTTGAAAGAATATTTAGGCATTTAATACACTTTTATCCTTAATTTTTAGTTTAATTTGTTTATATAGCACATATCTGAAAGAGCTCACTAGGAGCTTTTGATAATATATAGCAAGCAGTTTCTTCGAAATACAAAACAAAAAATGTTTTTATTAACATCAAGTAATACCAAACACTATTTATGCAGTTTATAATCAGTAAATGCTTTATTCCTATTCCGCTTGCCGCAAACGAGCCAGTCGTTGAGTTAATTCGTCCTGCTCCTGTGAGACTTGTGTAGATGCGCCAATAGTGGAACTTTGTACACCACTCGGTAATTCCATATTTAGCTCTAACCTGTAGATTATAAATAAATTTTTAATAATAAGCAGATATTTAACCAAACATATACTTACCCTGCTTCATCTGCTACCTGTTGTAACAAGTTGTCGACATCTCCTTGCGGCACGGATGTCGTAGTCGTATCGGACATAGTATTCTCCATAACGGAACTTTGTACATCTAAGTCTTCGAATTGTGTTTCGAATTTTTCCATTAGCGATGAGATTTTTTCCAAATTCATACCTTTCATAGCGGCATCCATAGCTTTGACCACACCAGCCATAGAACTAGTGACTTTACGTGTGGTTAACGCAGATTGTACACGACTCGCCACTGCATCTACTCGTGCGCTCATACGTAAATAATTTACTGCTTGATTCTTTTGTCGGATCGCATTTTCTGCATGTATACGTGCTACATCCATATTACCCTTCTGTATAGCTTTCTTGGCCTTGGCCTTTTCGAGTTTCTCCTCCTTCTCGCATTTTTTGGAGTTACGCTCCAACTCCTTAACAGCAAATTTTAAATTAAAAAGATGTTCTATAAAAAGTTGAAAGAAAATTAAATTAAATGGGAATTCCTGACTTGTTGTAGCGTATACTTGGTAATATGTATGTTCTTACTTTCCATTGATGAAGTTGACATTTCGTTACCCAGTTTGGTGGTTTTTACACAAACAGAAATATACACAATAAATTGATAATATAAAGAGTGAACTGGCGTCAATTAAATTATTATTTTCCTTTAAATTTTACGCTCGAAATTCTAATTTCGCAGTAATGATTTTGTTTTCTTCTCTCAACTGAAATGAATCATTGTTTTGCTTGACAGTTGTGATATCATAACAAATAAAGATTTACGGCTGGTGCACATAGAGTTTAGAAATTGACATTCGGTGTTCTGTGGTATAATTGAGAAGGTTTTAAGAGAGATATTTTATAAATTTTGGTTTACTTTGCAATTTAGGAAGAATTCTGCTGAACTTTCTTACATGAGATGTTATAAAGAAGACATTGAAGGCTTATAAGTTTATGTTAACTCTTCTTATGACGACAAAAATTCATTCACAATAGATTTACCTGATGGCAAATAATAAAATATATTTAAATGAAGAAAACCATTACACAATTGTTTAATAAATTGCAAATTAAATACAACTCTTATAGAATAGAATTATTAAAATTTTAGAAAGTTATAAAAATAAAATAAATTATAGAGGAATCTCGGCATTTGAAGCACCTTGTGTAAGTGTGTCTTTGCTTATTTTTTATGTATGTCTGATTTATTTCCTCTTCCTGCGTGCATTTGCTTTGTTAATTTGAAATGTGTTCTCTTTTTATCACAAATTTTGGTGAAATGATTAAAAAATGTACGAATGCAGTGTGATTTGATATGTTACATAACAGCTAAAAGAAATGTACCGTGTATATAAATTATAATTTATAAACTTTTCGAAATGAGGATAACCTCAAATTAAAATGAAGATCGCAGCCATCTTTTGAAAGTTGACGAAGTCATTTCGAAACGTTTTTAGTCTAGCGGGAAGCACTAGCATTAAAGTTCATTTGGTCGGAGCGTGAGCACTTTTTCTAAGACTGCGGTAATTATTTGTTTACGTATAGTATGCAGAAATGTTATAATATATCCCTGAAATTACAGCCCAGCCCTTCGATACCAAACGAGGTTTCTGACAAGGTGACTCTTTATCGTGTGACTTTTTAACTTATTGCCATAGAAAATCATACGAGCTGCAGAGCTGAATAGAGAAGGTACAATTTATACGAGTGTATAGCTACCGGCGTACACCGATGAAATCGACATTATTGGCCTCAACAACCGCGCCGTGTGTTCTGCTTTCTCCAAGCTTGACTAAGAAGCGAAGCGAATGGGTCTGGTAGTGGATGAGGGCAAGACGAAATATCTCCTGCCATCAGACAAACACGACTCGGCTCCCACGTCATTGTTGAACGTCATAACTTCGAGATTGTAGATAATTTCGCCTATCCAAGGCCCAACTTTAAAACCAATCCAAAGCTAAATCACAATTCGGTCATCATACCGGTCCTACTATATGGCGCAAAAGCGCGGACGATGTCAAAATCTGATGAGTCGGCTCTAGGAGTCTATGCATTGCAACGGCGAATACGGAACGATGAGCTGTACGCGCTATACGATGATATTGACATAGTTCAGCGAATGAAGAGACAGCAGCTGCGATGACTAGCTCCTTTGGTTCTGATGGATACCAATACTCCAGCTTTGAAAGTTTTCAATGCAGTACCCGTTGGTGGAAGCAGAAGAAGAGAAAGGCTTCCACTCCGTTGGAAAGACCAGGTAGTGATGGACCTGGCTGTACTTGGTATTTCCAATAGGCGCCAAATAGCAAAAAGAAGAAACGAATGGCACAATGTTGTTAACTCGGCTATAATTCGCGTAAGCGGTGTTTACGCCAGTAAAGTGAGTAAGTAAGTAACAATGAACCCCCCACTGTGATGAGTAGGCAATTTAGTTCACATTAGAAAAATTTGGGCTTTCAACATAAAATCCAAATTTAAATAACTAAATGCTAAGTTAGCTTCCGTATTATTATTCTACATTCACACATGCTACATTTAAAAAAAAAACTTTTTATACTTTCTCCAACTTTCAATCATGAAGCGTGATTTCTCAATGAATTTTCTTATCCACCTCATAAATCTTAAATAATTCATACTTTTATGCTATGCAATGTGCTGCTGATTACTTCCGCCTGATACATACGTGTATGTATGTATGTATGTATGTACATGTCGAAACAAAGCAAAGTTTTCTACAATATCATTTGAAAAGAAGAAAAGAAAAAGAAAAGTTTGCAGAGATGAAAACAAAAAAACAAAAATTCACTTTAAATTTTAATCACAATATGAAGTGGAATATCTATAAAAGTACATACATATGTATGTATGTGTAAGTGTAGTAATGCAGTGAGGCGAAAATTCGAAGGAGTTCTCGTCAATGACAATGCAACAAACAATGCTGGAGACAAGCATTGAAACGGCGACAACAAAAACAAAAAAAAAACACAATTACAAGGCAACCATGAGGAACGTCAAGTTTGAGTGCAATAAGACAAAGGATTGACACAAAGGAAACATAACGGCATTGTGAAGACGCAAAATATTGAGATGTACGAGTAAATAGAGTTATATACATCATACATACGTACTCGTATGCATGTATGAATGTGTGAGTACCTGTGTATATGTAAAGTAATATGTAATAAATAGTAATAGTCTAAGTTCGCTAAGAAAAAGGTTTTGTTTACATTGGAAATATGCAGCGGATTTTCAAAGCTCAGCAATTTTAGCATAAACAAAAATTCAATATTTTATGGTATAAACCATATTATTTTCGTAGAAAAAAAAATAGAAAAAGACTGTTAAGCATTTCTCTGTTCAAAATTAATAAATCAGTAGTGGAATTCGTTAATATGAGTACAGTGAATATTAAAATCGATAGAATTATCGATAAATTACTTTAACGATCCGAAAATTATTACAATATAATAAAGAATCCCTGTGTATATGTAACACATTTAACGATCCAAAATTAAATTAAATGCTCTTCTAATGCCCGATATTTTTTTTTGCCTTAAATTTAAATTTTGCCTCTCGAAAGTTGCTTTAAATAAGCGAAAAACTGGCGTTTGCGTTACCTCTTTGATTTGATCTAGATCATCACTTTGGCTGGTTGCCATTTTTGAGTTTGGAAAGTTTCTATGACATTTTTTCACTCTCAACTAATTTCTCTCTTCTAATGCGAGCGGCAGCGATAGTCGAGTGGTTAGCATTGCGTACTGCCATTCGGAAGGCCAGCGTTCGAATACTAGTTCGAACAAAACCCCCCACACACATACATTTTCTAATTGCGGTCGCCCCTTGGCAGGGGAATGTCAACCCCTCCGAGTGTATTTCTGACATGAAATTAAGGCTACTCATAAAAATCGGAAAGAAAGACATATAGACGCATACCACAAATTGGTGGAGAAGCTTGGTCGAAAATCATTTCAGTGGCTACAAAGCGCCAAATATATGTACCAAAAATAACTGCACCTCCACATCGTGGCGCATGATGGTGAGACGTTTATCCGTCGGTGCTAATGCAAGTACTCGATGACGGAGTCTCTCTTCCACCACGAAGCCGAATTTGTGCTTTTTTATATTACCACTGTAGTAGATTTTACAAAAGTTTGCCTTTTTCCCTGTTTATACCCTCCATCACACTTCTAAGACGGCAGTGATGTTAACATTAGGTCTTATGAGGGTAGTGATACCTTTCCAATTAAGTGAGCGGACATTCCAGGTGCATGCACTTAAAGCATGATCCTTAACACGTTTGCGAGGGTCGTCTTTAATAGGGGCTTTGTCTAATTTTTCATTGAAGTATATTTTTTATGAAGTTGCTCACAAGCCCTACCCATAACCGCCGGAGGTATTTACCACCTCCATTTAGCTCACTTCCAAATGGATGTCTGTTGGCTCTCCAGAGGAGCTGATGGAACCATGAAGAAGTTTTTCGGGTCTCGCCCAGGTCTTTGGCAGTCAAAAACTGTTCTCACTCGCGTAAACTTCTACATAACACCCCATCCTTCACAAAAATAATTACAGTTTATTAAAATTTCCCTGGCTACGTACTTACTTACTTACCTATGTATTGTACATACATATTTCTGTATTTATTTTTGCATTTTCATTAAGTACGCGAAAGTTTTAAATTCGTAAATTAATTTTAATTTATTTTTTGTAAATTTACATTAAAACTTTTTTTGGGCTCTTCAACATTTTCGACTTCTGCCCTATGCAAATAATGGACCTATGTAAATTTGACGATTCTTACACTTTGTTTTCATTTTTTTTTCATACTTGTGTTGTTGTCGTCGTCGTTGTTGTTGTTGTTGTTGTTGTTGTAAAAAGTCTCCGATACTAATTACCCTTCAAAAACAATAAAAAAGTATTCGACAAATGAATGCGTCGTGCTGTTGTTGCTGTACAATGGTTTCCGAATACCTACACACATACAAACATACATACATAGATTGGCGGCGAAAATATTTATTTATAAATAATGTGGGCAGCACGAGTACTTGTTAATATTTCGCTTGTTAAATGCAATGTGAATGAAGTTGTCCAAACTTTTTAAAGTGTTTTTTGAATTTTAATGAAGAGGCGAAGGACCATTGCAATCTTTTTTTGCTTTTTTTATGTTCTCAGAATGGATTTGTTAAAAAAAAATTTTTGTCATATTGAATCTTAAGTGCGTCTACCAAAAAAATGTTTATTACATTACAAGGGGATTAACAAAAGTGCGGTAAGTTGACCAGAAAAAAATAAAAAAAAAGTTATTTTCGTATTTGTACGTCCTTCAATGCCTTCCTTAAGGGGCACACCTAGTGTAATGGCCTAAGAAAAAGGTGATTTTTGGGAATTTTTATTAAAAAAAAATACTTCATCAATTATTTCAAAATTTTTAGAATATATTTGTACATGTTTCACGAATATACAGTGAAATTTTTGAAAAAAAAATTAAAAATTTTTTAAGTTATAGTCGATCTCCAACGGCGGTGAAAAAAGATCCTTCACTGCTGCAGTTATTCCGGCCTTCGCCGTGGATGAAATCTAAAAAAAAAATTCTCTACTACAATGACCTACGATAAAAAAAAAATAAAAAATTGACAATATGCCGGCGTTTTAAAAAAATAGTCGAACTTAACCCAAAATTTTGGTCGCTTTTGGACTGCCAAAAATTCGATTTTTTATCAGATCAACAATCGATAGGTCATTGTACGGAGAACTAT